ATAGTCCCTGAATTTAGACTCAATTTGCATTTTGGTTTCCGAATTTGCAAAATAGTTGGTGTAGTTCCTAAATTCAACTTTCGTTAGCAATGTTGGCCTTCTGTCAAATTTGTTAAATTTTCTATAAATTTAAGAGTAAAATTATCACTTAAAATTCAGTTCCAATCACTCACACCAGACACCATTCCCACCACCACTTTGTACCCAAATCCATCATTTCCACCACCATAAAAACAAATAACAAAAGTCAGTTGCCTTCTTTTGAGTTTTTTTATTTACACCTGTCAAAGATCCAAATTCATCCAAATTACACCACGAGATCTTCCCTACCTAGCCCCACAAGATATTTCCGCTCGACCAATTCCCCACCAAATATGTCCCCCAACTCAATTTTGACCAGATTAATTGAAAAAGAAATAGAAAGAATGAGGAGGGACATAAAAATATAGTTGTGCCTATTAGAAAGAACGTACAAATATAATTCAATATACTTTTACTTTTTGAAAGTTTGGTAATAAATAGTTTACACTTTACTTACGAGAATAAGGAAGAATATAAATGTGTTATGAGTTACGCATTTTGGAAGATGATAAATTGTCATTAATTTAAGAGTTATATTCAGACCTTTTGTTGATTTAAGACCTGTCAATTGTTACATTTCTTAAATCCGTGTCAATTATTACATATCTTAAATCCGTATGTACTAATTTCATGGCAAAATAAAAATAATAAGAAATCAAAGTGCTAAACAAACATTATGTTATCAGGTTAATTAACATGTCCAACCCAAACCACTAAATCGTGATTTTTTTTATATACCAAAAAACATATTAGTCACGAACATTGGCTTAATTAAGTTGGCTATAGCATATTTGCACTCGAGTTCGAATCCCCTCTCTGTAATTTAGATTAATTAAATTAAAATATTACACAGTTTGTATCAAAAACCTTTTAGTCATACGGCTTTAAAATAGCTGGTGCAAGACAATTATGTAGCATGCAATATTTCTTTAAATAAAACTAGCCTCTCTGCACACGCTTCCGCACCTGCGAGAGACTTTTTCTTTTTTTTTTAAATGAAATTTATTTTAGAATTAAAAAAGATAATGGGTAGTTGTGTTCCATAAAAATAGGATTCACTATCTGAATTTTCTTTTAATTTTAATTTTTTTAAATATGAAAAAGTGTGAATTTACCATATTATCCTCATTTAATTAATAATTTTAATTCTTAATGTTTGGATTAATTAATGGCATTTTTTTGGTATTTTGAATGTTTCACTATACTCTGCATTTTGCTTTATATATATAGATAGATAAAAAGACATATGTTATACGTCTTTTGTTTTTTTGGGCAACGCAGGTGCATGCATGTGTGGATAGTAAAGTCTTGCCAAAATGTTAAGAAACTAATAATAATATTTTAAGGGATAAAATAATTTTGGTGAGTTAAAAGATACATACGAGCAAGCAAGTGCAGGGGATCCTCCATAAAAAAATGCATTTATTACAGGAAATGACATACCTCTCCTGACAAAAAAAAAAAAAAAAAAAAAAAAAAAAAAACATACCTCTCCTCTTGAAATATGAGCAGCCACAATCAAACCAAGTTTTGCCTTTACCTCTAATTTTCGGTGAAAGTTGTTAGGGTGGTTGGTCATCATTTACCATCTTCTTTTTAAGGGAGGAAGGAATAAGTAGAGCAATAAAAACTACCACACAGAAAGAACTACCACGCAAAAAGAAAGAAAAAAGTACGTACACACAAAAGGAAGTGTATATAATGGATTCTAAAGATTCTTATTTTCTGTTATTTCTATTTTAATTATGTGAATGTACGTACCTATATGTTATTTTCTCAAATTAGTGACTATAATTATATATTAATGAGTGAATGAATACGTTCAAAATCTAGGATGACATTTCTCTGTTAATGAATTATGTCCTTGGAAAAGAGATTAATATGGAAATATCTAATATACCCATTTTTGCAAATTGAGGTAAGACTAAATTACACAATCGATAGTTTAAATTATAGTAAAGTAATCTAATACACATTAAGGACATTCGAATTTAGGCTCAAATAGCTTAAGCTACGTCTGCCCCTGTAAAAACACAAACGTATGCACCCATTTTTTCAATTTAAAAAGGAAAAGTATGCACATGAATGCGTGCTGGACTGAAATACTGGTTAAAGAATAATCTAAATAGAATAAAGTGATGAATAAGAAAAGTCCTAAAGAATCAATTTATCGTTTCACTTTGATCGAGAAGATAATATATATCGTAGCACGATATATATTTATTATCAAGTCATTTTCACGTGGGATAACAACCACACGTCAATTCGTTCTGACGAAAGACATTTTAAACGGTTCTAATCAGATCGCTTTGTATTTATCTAGAGAAAAGGAAGGTTCATATCACATGCGTAACCCTCCACGGTATATAAAGTGGGACGCTTTGGAACAACGAGTAAGAGCATTATTAAATGATTTACTTTTTCATTTTTATAATACTTTTGACTTTATTCTATTACCAGTCTTATTATTACTATTTGTTATCTGAATTTGTTAATCAATATTCAACTTTAAACTAATCTAAAATGCGGGAGGAGGAGAATTCGAACTTGAATAGAGAGTGAGGAGCATATAAATTCTAGCCAACTTGAATAAACCCATGTCTAATGTTAAAGAATGATTAGGAAGTCAATTCCTATAAATTTACAACTGTCAAACTATATAAATGCAATAATTTGAAATTTAACAATTAAAAGCACAATGAACAAATTATAAATTAAGTACTAAAATTGTTAAATTCCAACATAATGAACAAATTAACTATTGTGTGATATCACATAACTATAAATTCGAGAATGATTATGAAGTTTATGGTGTATGTGCATTAAAGAATTTTTTTGATGTTAAATAGGAATTGGATTGGATGTCTAGGGATTTTGAACCCTATATTTAGATCCATAAAATATCATATTTATCAACCACTCATGCTATAGAGGTTAATTAATAGTCCTTGTGAGTATTCCAACAGAAGACTGAGTCGCAGCATTTGTCCTGACAAATGTCACTTTCGATGGAATTTTCTTGGATGCTTCGGTCCATTGGAGGTACAGGCTACAAGCACTCGTATATTGTATTGTTTTCTTCCAGCAATAGACAATGAAGAGGTTGCTTTTGTGCTTTTACACGTTTTGTTTGCTGCATTTGGTTGATAAAGAGTGGGTGGGAATTGGGTAACTCCTTCAAATCATGTCAAACCAAGAAAAACAAAGTGCTTTGCTGTATTTGTTATTTATTTTGTCTCCGCAGTTAGACCAGTTTGATTCACGGAACGGATTTGAGGGGAAATTACTTTTCACGTCATTTCCTAAGAGATGGGAATTCACGTTTGGTAATGCCCGGAAAGGAACCGGGAGATATTACTTTATTTTGTTTCCCATATAATGATATATTATAATTCTAAATTGTTAATGAGAACAAAATGGTAATGAAAAATGTGCATTTAATGTTAGCTCATTTTTCCAAACTTTCCCATGAGGAGAGAAAACAAAACCCAAGTAAAGAGGAGGACTTCACTTTCCCCATACTTCCCCATGTTTCAAGCAAACCATTTCCTGCACCTGGGCTTAACAAACATGACAAGGCAATTGATTTTCCATTCCCAAATTTTATTTCCCATTAACCAAATGCGCCTTAGTATTAAATCAAATTATTTATTTTATTTTATTAAATTAATGCTATTAAATAATTTATTTATTTGGATGGCATTGTTTTTGTTTTTTCTTATTTTTATTTATCTTCAAATTCTCACATTTGGAAAGGTGATTGTTTGTTTCGATGTTAATTTCTGAAAGCATGATATAATCGTTTTAGTTAAAAAGACAAGTTCAAAACGCTGAATACCATGGTGTCTCTAAACTCGTTTGGAGTTGTGGCATCATGAAAAGTAGAAGTGCACGAATGTGAGCCCTCCCAATTTCCAAATACCAATCCAATTGCATTAAAAATTGATGCCAAGTAGATTATCTGGGGTTGCACAAAAGTCGAAACTAATTTAGCCACCTTGATGATAATAAATAATATTAATTAAAAAGATGGTGGTCCAAAACGCACTTCAGCGCTTGAGTTTTGGGAAGACCTATTTAACCTCGAAGACAAAAACCAAATACAAAATTTTGAGGAATGATTCCTAAATAAATTGCAGTCATGCCTAGTTGGCGAAGACAATGTACTCACTCATTTAACTCGAGTTCACTCACTCCTTTAACTTGGATAATGTACTCACTCGTTTGATAATCTTTTCGTACATTATGGTAGTTTAGAATATTGCATTTTCAAAATAAAAAAACTCATTACAATATGGGTGGGTGAGAGTTTCTTTTTTTTCTTTTTTTTTACACAACTTTTGCTAAATAGGGGTTCCTTTACTATTTTTTTAGTAGATTTTAAGGTTTCATGTACTTTACTCATCCCTCATTAGAGAGCCCGCCTTCATTAACTTTAGTGGTCATAGCGAATATGAACCGTTATGTATAAAATCCAGTAAATGAATCGGAAACCTTAAAATGGTGAATACAAAATTCCTCGTAGAAGACGAGTTCATATTTCATTTCACCTTTCATAGGAAAAAGCTGTCTCAAGAATCTCACTTTCGGACGTCTGAAGTAATAATAAAGCCAACATGTAAGGGATGGATAAAAAGGAAACATTCGATTTCCCATCAATTCAGTAGTTCAGTGTGGATTTGATTCCTTCGTTTGGAAAGTGAAAACATTCTCAATTTTTCTAAGTCATAAGTTATGATCTTTGTCAGAAAAAAAAGAACAAACTATGTAATCTTTCTCAGCATCTTTGTTTTGTTTTGGATCACCATAAATCTTTCTCAGCTTGCATATGCCACCACTATTGTAATGCTAGCTAGCTAGTTTCCTGTGCACATCAAAAGCTAAAATCAGAAAAATTGCTTTCCGTACCTACAAAACCTTCAATCCTGTGGCCTTAAACAGCCTCCGGGGAGAAGGAACCTAAACTTGTCTACATTCTTTATCAAGTAAGCAGGAAGATGAACTGCAGAAGTCGAACGAGGTATTGGTCCCATCTTCTTAATCAACTCCTTGAATGAGTACTCTTCAGGTAACATATCAAAAAGATCATCTCCTCGACAAATGAGCTTTTGAATTCTTGCATAATTCAGAAACTCTCTCCGCTTCACACGGTCCGCATGGCTATAAGCAGTCATCTTAAACACAAAGTCTTCAATATGCCGAAAGCAAAAACTACAATGCCATCCTGCATCAGAAAATAAATAATTTGTTTGTCGAGAGTGCTGATAAAAGGTACGTGGTCCATAGATGTGGGATGTAGCCCGCCAGCTACTATAGTCCACAGGGAACTCAAATGAATACATGTAGTGCTTCAGCTCAAGATGCATTGTAGATGGAATCCCATCACACCATTGCAGTAATTTCACAGTATGTGGGCTTGGGATCTCATCAGTGTCTGACATTATCAGTACATCACCATAGGAAATCCCCGCATGCCGAAGTAAAGCATTCATAGCTATACGTTGCTTTTTCTCAAGTTCAAAGGGGTCCGTACGCGATCCATGGGGTACAACTATGCCAGGAAAGATATCGTGGACGACTTTTTCCTCAGCAAAGGCAAATCTGCTCCGATTTGAAGCAAAGAAAAGAGGCTTTGGGATGCCAGTGAAAGTGGTATTTGCCTCAAGTATTACCAATTTTGTGACATATGGATAAAGCTCATGCCACCTAATATCGAGCATGTCTAACTCATTGCTAAAGATGATGCCATCGAAAACACGGCGGGGTTCAGCACGTAGGGACCAGCCATGAAGGCGGCAAAGATGGTCCATGGTTACATTTTCAGCATAGTAGTGTGGCAGGCGTATGAAAGGGGTTGGGGGCTTGTCCCAAAGTGGCCGAAAGAAGTACGAAATTTTCGGGTAATTTGTGCAGATTCCAAATATACATGTAGGCACGGCTATCAACAGAATGAGACAAAAGAACTTAGGTGGTGTTCGTCTGTGAGTAGGGCGGAGAGATCGTATTGCCATACCTTGAAATATAATTATCAAGATGGGCGGTACTTAACATGTTTGTCCAAATTCAACTACCAATATAAACATTGCTCTAACAACCTTGGTCACCTGCATAAAATTAATATGTAGATTAGCTACTACAATAAAAGCCTTCATGATATACAAGGCGATAACTCACTTTGCATAAAAGTTCAATGAATACTACAACCCATATTTTGATGAATGCCAGAACGGGAAGGAGCATATCCTCAATCAAACTTCAATTTAATCATATACTCACTCAAACACAAGTAAACGAGCATTTCTGTTTTTCCAGATATGGACAAATTTCTATAAATTTCTATTCCAAAGATTAATTCTAGGATAAAGAACTGTGCCCTTATAGTCTGATCTTATGTACACAAAAGAATTGTGTCTTTGACTTGTTGAATTGGACCTTTTATGATTATTTATTTCATGCAAGGCAAGCTGCCAAATCATTATCTGATGCATTATTAAATAGTTGCTTGCCACCCTAGCACCACCAATAATACTTTCAAGTCAAAAGTACAAAGTTGCATAGAAAACAACATATCAAAGTTGTATATAACAAAGAGAGCGATGAAGTTAAATATTATAGCATTTAACATTGTCTTCTTCCTCCAATATACGATATATAACACAGAAGAAATGCAAGAGAACAGGACCAAAAGGAATTGCACGACAAAACCAGGCCGGTCAAGCCTAGATGAGGATCCAAAGTTCCCAACAAAATAGTTGCCGAATAATTCTTGTTTTTGGTCTTATTCCTCAAGTAACTATGCAGAATCTAAACAGATTTTGTAGAAAGTAAAGAAGGCATCGAGAAGGCGGCAGACGCGTAGAACCATTACATAATCAATTAGAACTTGTTGCACAAACTTACTCGACGGCGTTGATGTTTAAGACAACACACCAGCTTTCGAAGGAGCCAAAAATTGAGATTTGAGAAGGGTTTGGAATTTATTTTCGAGCTGTTTTTATCAAAAGATAGGGGAATAGAGGAAGGAGAAATGCAAGCCTCATGTCATGGGGGTAATTTTATTCGGCCCATTTTACAGACTTGATTCCAATCAATGCCTTGATCATCTTTCCTTTCTGTGGGAATTATAACCGCAGATTTTGAAAGATATTACAAGGTAATTAAAATCAATTAAGGCTAAGTGGAATGCCTGACAATATCTATGCAAGCAACATACTTTGTAGGACCAAAAAAATAAAAAAGTTGACACCCTGCAGTATTGCTCTCAGGTTTTGGATATGAAGCCTAATATGGTTACTGAAACACTAAGTTTGGTGGTTGCCTCTTTAACCATTATTCATGACAGTTAGCACAATATAGCACCAAAAACAAATTGAATGAAACCCACTCACTCAAAAACAAATTGAACGAAACAAACTGTGACTTGTGAGAAGAACATTGAATATGTGAAATTTTAGGCAACCATTTTCTCTTGCTAAAGAGTCAAACGAAGACCAACAACATTCAAACAAGGACCCACCTTCACGAGGTAAGTAATCAATCAACAAAGAACCCACCTTGCTATGAAGAAGATAATTAATAGTTTTTAAAAAAAAATTTAAAAAAAACACAGAAAAATGATAAATACGACACTTACAAATAAAAGCTTGACCTTGTTGAAGTTGCAGAGGCTGAGAGGAATGTTACTTGGCCGCGCACACATTGCCGCCAAGAGAGAAAGAGAAGCGGAGAATCTCGGAGGCAGAGAGAGAGAGATATTGTAGAGATTGAGAGAGATTTAGGGGACGAGAGAGAGGAAGAGAAGCTCGGAGGCAATATCGGAGCACGGCTGGTCACGTGCGACGAAGTGGTGAAGACCCGAAGCCGGAGAAAGTGGAACCGTGGAACCTCGGAGCCTTAGGAAAACATGCGAACAGCGATCGCCTACAGCTGCAACATCGTACAGTTTGCAATTACAACTCGCGGTGGGCAGACACGTGTTAGGAGGAGCCGGGTGGCACGTATTTATTGGGTTGTTCAGAGCAGAATATGTTTGAGTGTAGGTGAATCGGTGATGAGATAAGGTCGGCACTCCTGATAGTGGCAGGTTATGAGTTATGACTTTGGAGTCATCGACCGACGTGGCTGTATTCGTATATCCCATTGGTATCCACGCTGGATCTGGATGAATGGACTTGCGTGCCAAATCACCTATTTACCCTTATTTAAAACGACCCCGTCCCTTCTTTGCTATAAACGAAAGGTCGGTTTTACAAATTGCAAAGGAGGGTGAGTATTAAGTTAGGATTATGATATGTTTATGTTAAGAGTTATTTAGTTATGTTTAATTAAAGTTTAATTAAATAAAGCTACCCAGAGTCCAAATCAAATAGAATTCCTAGTTTGTAGGAGTTGTGGTTAAGATTGTTCACCACGGTTAGAAGTGTTCTATCAACATGCTACAATGGTCATAATGACCATCGTAGCGAGGGATTGTTGGTTGCACGAAACCATTGTCTTCAAATGCCATTTAATCTTGTTGTTGCAAGAGTAAGGCTGCTGCTTTGTGTCTTGATTAGGCCCCAATAAAGGGGCTCTGATACCAGATGTTGGAACTCAAAAGAGAAATTGAAAGCTTGAAGTTATTGAACTTGAAAACCAGAAACACTCATTACTGAATGAAACAATATTACAACTTAAATAGAATTAATCTAGGCTACACATTAAACACTATAGGCCTCATCATTTGGCCCGCGGGCTCATGGGCCGATGGGGGCCCGCCCGGCCCATTGGAAAAAAGCCCGGCCCGGCCCGTTATGGGCTTTGAGATGGCCCGGCCCGCCTTGGGCCGGGCTAGGCTTGGGCTTGGGTGTCTGAAGCCCGGCCCGGCCCATAGGCCTGGCCCAATTAAGCCCAAGAAAGCCCGGCCCGGCCCACCCACAAAAGCCCGGGCCGTTAGGCCCGCATACATATATAATTATGAATAAATAAGAGTTTAGGATTAGGATTATATCACTTAAATCATATATATAATTTGTTTCATTTCATTTACTTTTCTTTACTCATTCCTAGTTTATAATTGGATGATTAGCACATTGATTTGTGTCAATTATTAATACAACAATTATATATATATAAATAAGATGAACAATATATCATATCACTAAATATAATCATATCACGAAACATAATCGTACTACTACCACAAAATATAATCATGTTTTTCTTGAACACATCACCAAACATTTACATATTTATTTATACCGTCCTTTAAAAAAAAATATTTTTTATACTTATTATTTTTTAAAATTATTTCTTAAAACGTATTACGGTATAATTATGTAATAACCTCAAAAATAATACTTTGTTTTATTATTTTTGTGGAAAATCTTATTAAGTTGTGCGACTTTATTGGGTATTTTATGAGTTTGATTTGATGTGAAAATATTGGAATTAAGTGAGTTTAATCTCAAATTTAGACTAAAATGAAGTAGGCCCGTTTCGGCCGGCCCGTTGGGCTTAGCCCAGCCCGGCCCAATGGGCTTTCTCAAGCCCGACTTATGGGTCGGGCTTGGGCTTTGAATTTTCTAAAAAAACCTGGCCCGGCCCGGCCCGATATTTTCTCTCTCCTCTTTAAAGCCCGGCCCGGCCCGACCCAAGCCCGTTAAATTTGGGCCGGGCTAGCCCGGCCCGGCCCATTGACGAACCGCAAAACACTAACTCAACTTATTCAGATTTTGTGGAACTAAACTAAAACAACGGAATACTTCTAACTGTGGTGAACAACTGCAACCACAACTCCTACAAACTAGAAATCCTACTTGACTTGAACTCTAAGCAATTTTATTTAATTAAAATTTAATTAAACATAACTAAATAACTCTTAACAATTTAGATTTTAGTGTTCGGTTTTTTAAATTAAGAAAAGTCAATTATATTAAAAATAAAAAGAACAATTTGAATTGAAAGACAACTTTGCATGTTGGGGGTTGTGAAGCCCCGTTTGATTAGTATTGTGTAGTTGTTGGTCTATTGGGGTTTATCCCCCTTGCTTCATTTGAAAATAGAGAAGATAACTTTGCTTTCGGTTTCATATTTATGTTAGGACTTCAATATATAAAAATATGCTGGAGACTTGTAACTTAAGTAGTTAATAATATTTACTTCATAACTTGAGGTATTTGGTTCGATTCTCTTTTTCTCACTCACTTATATAAGACGATGCTAATTCATATTAAAAAGAACGCCAAAAAAATTTAAATATTTATTTATGAAATGCATGTGAAGGCATTGTTGCAAACACACACAACATTACAAGGTGGGTCGAATGCAGCAAATGCTTGACATTAGAACATCAGCCCACTTTAGGAGTAGCTGTTAGCCCATCAGATCAGGTACTGCTTGACATAGTCAGAGCCCAACCAAGTCCAAAACTAGATTTTTTTTTTCTTTTTCCCAAATTAGATTTGAAGTGCTCTAATTCTTGGGTCTTGGCGGAAGGAGAAGAATAGTGCTACTCCTACCTACTGGCTACTAGTATATAATAAAACATGTTTCTTCTACTGCGGGGAAAATTAAGGTGATCCATAAGTTATACAAGTGATTAGGATGTGGGTTCTACACAATATCTATATATTTTACACAGCGCAGTCTTGGTCATTCAAAAAATCATGTGAAAGAAGCCTGTTGGGGTCTACGGAGCAGAACAGTCAAATTTTGATGACCCATGCATGCATTAATCACTCCTCTTAACCAATTTGAGACGTTGCACCGATCTGATGAAAGTTCTGCGGAACCAAAATTCAAAAATGAGATAGAAGGAAGAACACAAGATATACAGAGACCCATGAGGCCTAATCTGATCAATAATATTGTTTAATTACTTTCTTAACCATCATTGTCTTGAACATTATTAGGCAACGTGTCCAAAAATGATGGATTTATTAATTATATACCTCCAAGGAACATCTTGAGCAAGAAGCCAGTCTCCTTCTCTGTCTTGGTAAGTGAGTTTATAATTGTTTGAATCCATCTGACCTGTTCCAGATCAATCCAGACAATTGTTAAAACCAAAATGAAACAAAGTAGTACATAGATATCAAACATTTGTCACTCGCACAAACTTTAAAACTTACATTTGTCAAACATGTCCATCAAGGTGTCTGCGAGTGTTTGGAAAGAGTGATGGAGGCTTAAGTCGATCTTTCTTGCTATTCCCACTCCTTCCATCTTCACCTTAACGAATGTAGAGTGGTGGTGGTTTGATGATCCTCTGCCACAACCAGAGCCATTCCCCACCGTCCGATGACCATGACCATGGTTGTGGTTGTGGAAGCAAGCCTCCTTTCTCCATGACTTAATTGGAGGCCACCCTACCAAACCATCTCCATCATTTCTATGGCCAAACCAAATAACATTTTATCAGATCATTTTAGTTTACTTATTAATTCATGGGTAAATACTTATGATGCAGAAACTGATTAGTTAAGAAGAAAAATCAAAACAAAATAGGGTGAATTAAATAAGTGGGCTAGGATAGTGAGCTCATCTCTTCGCATTCAAGTTTTCAATCTATATTCTCATAAATTAGTGTAGTTTAAACTATCGTTTGTATAAAAATCAAAATTTTGGTGTAAAAGAGAGAAAAGTACTTGATGACAATGGTAAAGCGGGAGTTGTTGTCTTGGTGCTTATCAGGGTCGTCGTCGTTATCGTGGTGGTTTGGTTGGTTGTTGTTCCAAAGGAACAAAGGCAGCGTTCGAGGCACGGCTGCAGTGGAACGACTAGTGTTATTGTTGTGGTCATCAAAAGCTTGGTCAAAGCTGCGTTTCTTGCTGTCATAATGAATAGGTTTGGAAACAGCTGCAACTTCCTTAGCTTCGAAACCAAAGTTATTTAAGTCGAAGCCTTTGATTGGATTGCTTGGAAGAGCGAGACCCAGTTGAAGCTCCATCTAAAACGAAATCCAACAAGAACAAACAAAAGATTACCCAATAAAATATACAAGATGATGATGACTTTGTGTGAATGAGAAAGAGAAAGAGAAAGAGAGAGAGACAGAGACAGAGAGTTTGGGATTTAAGGGATCTGGGTTTCTTGCTGTAATATTTATATGTATATGTATGTCACATGAGAGCAGTAGAAGGTTTTATTTAATTTAAATAAATAATAGAGAGTAAGAATAGATGGGGGGACATGGGATGGGACAAGGGGGTGGTGAAGAAGAGGCCGGAATGGGCGGGCATGGGACAACAGTGCTGGGGACATTGGCTAAGGCTGTCCGTGTCAATGCTCCACTTTTAGCCGACCCACTTGCCCCTGCTGTTCCCGCAACTCACCCCTCATTGCTTTCTGAACCCCCAACACTTCATCTATACCATTTACTATTTAGGGAGCTAAGCTCCTCACGCGTATCAAGACCACCGCATCAAATTTATGACAAGTTATTTGTTGAAAATTACACTTTTCTTTTATTTACTTACATATATTTTTTTTAATAATAAAAATATAAAAATATAAAAAGAAATATAAGTAGATAAAAACAAAGTGAAAAAATTATCACCCTTATTTTATAATATAAAAATGCACATAATATAACTCGTTCACGACTCGATAATCAAATTAAAATTTTCAACTTTTATGGTATATTATAACACATTGACAAGTTATACCGTGTAATTATACTATAGTCAATAAAACAGACGTTGTACTATAGTCAACCTATGGAGCCAGATGGGTCCAGTCCACTCAACACAGACAAGAACTCATGCAAAACTGAAGTTTATCACATTGCCACATTAAGTGTGTGTTAAGTACGCGTCAGTTTTTGCCGCATGCTCAATTTGAGTCGTGTAACATATACTGACTTCTCTGATACAGGATGAGTTTAGGGCCACAAGACAAGATCATCTAAATTAAAATTAAACAATCAAATTGATTGGACAGTTTCTCTTTGGTTAAAAATTTGCATACGTTTCCTTTCGTGATATTATAGTGAGTGATAGCGATCGAGTGACATGGTTGGGAGAGAACAAATTAATATACAATACAATACAATAAAATATATAACAAATGTTGGTACAAAAATGGACGAGACATATGTTCCCTATGTGCTTTGTTTTGGTAATGTTTAGGCTTTATGGGTGTTTTTTTTTGTATATGTATGGTTGTTTTTTAAGCTTACATTATGTGGCACACAAAGCTCCAACAAACCAACATAGAAAAATTGCCTCCTTTGAGTCAAGTCACACTCTCACCCTCGGTCCCGGCTTGAACAGCATTATTGAAAGAAAAAGCCGAGTCCTCGGGGGGTTTCACGTGATTGCCGGCAATCCCACGAGACCCTGGACCAAGCCACCCGCACGAGGCAACCAGGCAAGGATTTGAAACATGGCGGTGTGGTGTGAGGGTGCCACCCCACATTCCAACAAAGCACTACTTCATTTTCAATTTAGCTGCCTGCTCGCAGATTTATTAATTAGTCCCATGCATCATGCATGCATCCAGATTATATTTGTCCAGCCCAACCCTAGATACATAATGCTGGTTCAAACCCATGTGTCCAATGGTCCAATTCACTAGGTTAAGACAGAGACTGATTGAATCAAGTCAATTGCAGTGAGGTTATAACGAGGAACTATATATGTTGAGGGCTTATAATGAGAAAGTTCTTAATAACCGTCGGATTAATGCACTCATCAACATTGACGGCTGAATTGAAACCCAAACCGTAAAAGCTCGCAGTCAATTGGACTAAAGCTCGCAGTCAATTGGACTAAATCTCATCCAACTCGTTTTAATGTTTCAACGGTGAAGAGTGGAACAGAAATGTCTTCCACTAAAGCTGTAAAAGATAGAGTGGCGGGCATGGTGGTGATATTTTTATTTTCTTTCGGTGGAGAGGTCCCCTAGCTAGGAGGGGCTAAGCTAGTGAAGGAGAACATTTCAGACTTTGTCCCTCAGAGAGGTCCCCTCTCTCTACTGGAATAAATCTCAAATCCTGTCCTCCTCGGACATATTTCACGCGTATGAGGTGGACGTTGATGTTCTTGCATAATCTCACAAATTTGAATGTTTAGATTAAAGAAATGCATATGTTTACGCAGGAATATTAATATTCATGCTACAATTTGTTTAAATTAACATCTAATTACCAAAAATAAAAACAAAATATTCATGCTACAATATATGCAACACGTTGCTAATCATATCACATTATGCAAACATGTATCCAGGTTTTGTAATGAACATTGGTTAATTAGCATGGAAATGACTATAGAAACAATTTGGAAAGCATATATATATATAGAGAAGATACTAGATAGAGAGAGTGAGTGTGGGGACAAAGGGACAAGGTATATATTTTGCTGTATTCGGATTTTGCTTGTCTTATGATGACTTTGAATTGTGGTGTTGCCATCGCGGGACCAAAGTTTCCCATCAAAGATAAGCAACCGTGTGACAGAGAGTGTGAGATTTTGATTCTCTCTCACCCTATTGGCCATAAATCCTCCCTCCCAACATATTTCATTCTTTATAGATTTTGATTGCAATACACGTATGAAGTTGGGTGATGAAACGGAACAGACTTGTTGGATTCACACGCAGGACTTGAATTACGAACCGATTGCTGATGAAATTATTTAGTCAAAATCAAAACAGGATGAAAATGATGAGTTGCTTTTGCTTATAAAAAATAAACAAATCGCAACTTGTTAGGAGCAAATCCAAATGAACTCAAGCATATATATATATATTCCTGGATATGATGGTCTTGGTTGGTTGGACTTGCACTTTTAACTGTTTAATTACGTTTCATTCATGTCGAATTAAAACTGCGAAATGATGGCAAAAGCCGAAAGGAAATGGACATGATTTGTTTGTCGTCAAGAAAAAGAGCAGACGTCGGTGGTAGTAAAATAGTAAAGAGGTGTTGGTTTATCAAGTCATTAAGTTGATTGTAAAACTTGAGCACAAGGAAGGGTCCACTTGACTTTAGTGCTTTTGATTTTGCTGCAGGCAGCTGCTTCAGAAAGCATTTTCTCTGTTTGGAATTGGGAATTGGGAATTGGACTTTGAGTCCTCATTTGTCGGTTTAGACGAGCAATATTAAGTTCACACACACACTAGATTTGACTGTACTGACTGACTGGTACTGATATCTGATAGCCTCCCAAACCACACGCTTCCCTTCCCTCCCTCACTTTTAATCACTTTTACTAATCACTTTTAAGTAGTAAGTAAAGCCAAAAATAGTGAGACCTGGGCAGCTTCCTTGAAAATAAAATGGTTTGGTTTCCTTGCTTAAAAGTAATATGTCTTGTGTTTGTCGGGTGGGAGATAGAAACCAAAAATTAAGTGGGTGGACGACCAAACCACTGGTCATATAGTTTCTGTCTGTCAGCATCATTCATTACCCTAATTTCATTCAACACCGTTGAAATTTGAAACTGGAGGGAGCCCTCTTCCTCTTGACTCTCGTGATTGCTGCTGTGACTGTCCGACTCTGACGGGGCAAACAGTAAAACAAGGGGGCATCAACATATTATTTATGGAACTTTTTTAGTCCCTACGTACGTACCCTCACTCACTCAGCTTGCTTTAGTTTGAGTCTACAAATATTATAGGAATTAATGGAACATAATTAATTCTACATCAACATTAATTTTCCACATGCTAAATGCTTGTTAATGGTATGGAACCCAATATCAGATTTTGTCCTGCAGCCATTTCACCATTATCTGAAAACAATGTGTGTTAATGTTAGGAGACTCGCTTTTACTTTTACACCCCCCAAAAAAAAAACAAAAAAACAAAAAAAAACAAAAAACAACTGTTATAAAAAGTTGCAGTAATTTTCTAGTCCAATTTTTGGATTGTTTTTAAAAGTACCCAATAGGCCCATTTAATTGAATGGATTCAAATTTGTGGCCCAAAAAATGAAATTTCAACCTTTAAGCCCAAAAGGAGAACACATAAATATTCATTGGGCCTGTACAACCCACAACTACGCTTGCTTGCTTTAGAATAACAGGTCGTTCTATGGTGAGGGTGTCATATATGTACTATAAATGTGGACCTTCATGTTGGCCACATGATTAGTAACTTCACTTAAATTTAATAAAATGATCATGTTGCTAATATGAAAGTTCACATGAAGGGTCCATATATGGCACCCTTACTATGGAATTTTGCTACCATCATTGTTTTTTTGGGTCCACTTAAATTGTACGAAATAATCATAGCCCAACGTTGAGTAAGCTTTCATTAGCAAACCCTTTCACTCGTATATACTGAAAGCAGCTCAACCCTATTTTTTTGGGAGATTCACTATAATACCCAATATAGGAGCCCAAATTAAAAAAAAAACTCTATATGGAATGGACTTTAGAAACACACCCAAAGCCTATTTACAACATAATAAAAAAGCTTTTAACTTCTTTTAAATTACAAAACTGCCATTGATTTCTTAAAACAAACCCAACCCAAAAACCTCATAAAAAAGCCCAAAACACTTAACGGGGCATCAAAGTAATTTAATAATTAAAATTAAATTCAATAGGGCCAGCTGTCATTTTTGGGTTTTTTTTGGGTATGTTTATAGAAATTAAATTGTGTAGGGTTTATTTATAATTTTAGTGTTAAGAATGAGTATTTGACTAAATATATTTTTTTTTTTCTTTCTGAAAGTACAAAGGATTAGGGGTGGAGGTTTAAACAAATATTCATTGGGTGTCTCGATCTCTGCCAACATAAATGGAGGTGAAAGAACTCAACTAAGTGAGCTATAGTCTAATGACGCTTGAATTGCTGCTTTTACAGCTTGTTTTCCGTTGAAGAAAATGAATTCATTGATTAGCCAAAGAAAAACGTTGTTTGGGTGGTTGGGGTTGGGGTAGGGACTAAGTTACCATGAATTATTAGGAGACAAAGTGGTACCAGTAATGGCATGAAGTCAAGTCAAGAATTTCAGCCCTACTTTCATTGCTACGTAGGGCTTTAATTAATCAAGCACGATTCTCATTCTGAAAAGAAAGAATCCATTCAATCCAAGAAAGATACTCCATTGCATATTGGGGGGATATGTGACCAAAAAGTTACACATTTTTTTGTAAGTCATGTAATAAGGTAAATAGCTGTAGGAGGAAACTTTGGCTGTTGGATTGGCCAAAAAAACTCATTTTGCAGGGCAACCAGGCCAGGAGAGAAGAAAAACTTTGTTGTAACTTGTAATTGGGATATTATTGTTTTGCTATTTCAGACCAATAATGCAACGATACGTGAAAAAATTATCACTTGTGTCGTTACACTATTGACAGGAGAGAAAAAGTGCTATATTCTTGTTGCATTAAAGTCTCTCTCCAAGAGGTGGGGTTTTGGATTTTGATGGTAGAACAGAATATTCATATTGGAGAGCTTTGCTTTCGCTTTGCAGTGGTAAAAATCACATTTATGCGTGATTTGATTTGTCCAGGAAAGTAAAGAGAAAAAGAGAAAAAGGTGAAAATCATTGTGCAAATAATGGGTGGAGTGGAGTGGATGTTCTCAACTCGAAGGAATCGTAATCTAGCTAAAACCTCAACATGCACATATATAATGCCAGCTTAAAAGTGGCTTCGAAATCTGCGCATGGCTGGCCTGGCTTCGCTTGCATCAACAAAAACTTGAAATCGTGCAACTCTTTTCAGGGTTTTATAAATCTAAAAGTCTACTCATGATCTTACCATTAGTTGCTAGCAATCTGTGCTGTGCGGCACGGCTTAGGGGGTCGTTGAACTTGAAGTTAGCATTCGCACTGCAGAAATCATAAAGAAAAATTATTGCTAATTATGATTATTTAACCTAATGTATATAGCTTTTCAGCTTAATTTCTACGACAAATGAAAATATGCATTCCATTCTTTTGAGAGAGAGAGAGAGAGAGAGAGATTTGATAGCAGCTTTGGCCCTCCATAAAGGAAATCCACCAAATTTTGAAGATTTAACCCAAACTATGGATTCTAGTCCACACAAACTTGTCATTTTCTATATACAAAAAGACAAGAAATGGTGGAGAACTTTACAAGCTGATAATGAATGGGAAAGCCAAAAAAAATGGTGTCAGAGAGAATATAATGCAGCCCTTTCAGAATGTTGTAGGACCAAACTCCCATCAAACTGTGCTTTAAGTACTTATATAATTGTGCTGTACATGTACTGCCAGACTTTATCTATATGTATATATTTATTAGCAATGTCTAGGAACACGATCAACTTATTATCCGTTTTCCTCTGATTCAATTTCTATTTTCAACTCTGAGATTTTCCTGTATGTATGTCCTGCTAGTTTAATTACAGGTATTGCAGCTGAGAGAGGGAGCAAAATAAGTGTTCCCAAACACCCTTTAGTTTCTAAACCAAGAAATGAAAGGAAAAGAAACATGCATATGCGAGACAAATTACATCCAAATATGCAATTTTTTTAATAAAAAAAATTCACCAATGTGGTAAAAACATTAAACAGCTTTTGGAAATCTGAAGCCAGAAACCCTGCTAGCTCCCAGTCATCCTATTTAATGATGATGAGCAACATGATTGTTACCAAAAATACAATGAAATAGTACTGAAGGCAGGGAACTGAAAAAGGAGAAATAATTACAAATATAGCTAGCTAGCCTGGAAAGCAAGGGAAGAGTTGAGTTGAGTTGAGTTGAGTTGAGAGCATGTGCTTTTCTGAGAGACGAATGGTCATGTTGTCATTCTGCCTCTGCTTTCATGGCCCCCCCACTTACTCCCCTTCCAATTCTAGCTGCATTATTAGCACATACCAGCAAGCAAATCAGAATAGAAAAAAACAAAGATCGACACCGCATTTTTCACGCAAAAGTTGGCACTCGTTTAAAGATGTCCCTCCTCCTCGTCCTGGGTTGAGAGAGAGTGGGGCCTTTCTTATCACTTCATAGAACTTCATACTAAGTATGTCCCACTTGTTCTCTAGGGGCTGCAAGCCTGGCATTGAGTTTATCGGAATTTATATTTTCTTTTCAAATTAATTGAAGTGATAATGAAAGATTCCAACTCTTTATTTTCATGATTACAGCGGAGACAAACACAGTTCTCTCCTCTGCATATTGTACATCTCAATGCTTAATTAGATTCAGTCCAAAAATTAGTGATGAGACAAGCAAAAGGGAAAGGGTAATTAATCAAAACAAACCCACATGGGCAAAGCTTAAAGATATTGATTAAGTGATGATCGAGGATCACACCGTACGTGCATCCGATCTGACGAATGTGATAAGTTGTAAGGGAGTGAGTGTTTATACAATATATCATCTTCTGCATGCAAGTACAACAAGTCGTAGAACAGTGATACGCATTAAGTGAATACGTGTTTGAATTTTATGAATCTCTCTCTCTCTCTCTCTCTCTCTCTCTCTCTCTCTCTCTCTCAAGATTCTGAATAATTATTTAGCAAAATTTGAAGTAGCCATAGTGGGAAGCAGATTTGCTTTGACAGGAGAGTCGTGGGGTTGTCAAGACTCAAGACTCGAGAAAAAAGCTAAAGTAGCTAGGAATTTATTGATCGATGAATAAAATTAAATAAGGGCACCCATGCACACCATGCTGTAGATCCTCCTACCTTCTGTATATATAAAGACCCCATTCACGTCTTCATTCTTTAACTTAGAAATTTATTATTTCATATAGAGGTAGGTAGGTAGCGAGGTCATGGACAAGAAAAGATCATCATCATCATCATCATCATCAGTAGTGACATGGAAACCAGCTGCAGCAAATGCAAATGCACAGGCGCCCAAGAAGAACTTGTGGACGCCAGAGGAGGACTTGATTCTCAAAAAATACGTGGAAACTCATGGTGAAGGCAATTGGGCCACTGTGTCCCAGCGATCAGGTACTTCCTCTTACTTACTTACTTGCCAATCAATTCATTTCTCATAGTCATACAAACACAAACAATTAAACACATGCACGCACATACATACGCATATATATAAAATATATGATATGCATGCAGGTCTGATGAGGAGTGGAAAGAGCTGTAGGCTGAGATGGAAGAATTACCTGAGACCCAACATAAAACGTGGACACATGTCCCAAGAGGAGCAAGACCTCATTATCCGAATGCATAAGCTTCTTGGCAATCGGTCAGTTATATTTAATCTTTAATCATCATCACAAAAATTAATTGACCTACGTACTTAATTACCTATATATATTTGTAGATGGTCACTGATTGCTGGGAGGCTTCCTGGTCGAACGGATAATGAAGTGAAGAACTACTGGAATACCCATTTGAACAAGATGAGCTGCCCAGCTGCACCCAAAAGAAAAACTAGCCATTTGAACAAGATCGTCACTAATAAGAAGAAAAAGAACAAAATCAGCAGCAGCACCATCACCATCACCACCACTTGTACTGATCGTACTGATGATGATCATGATCAAATTCAGAAGAAAGACGCCATTGACTTTGATCATGATCATCGCCAGGAACCAAACGGATCAAACCTTACTTCTAGTGCCAGCTGTTACTACAATGACATTAATGACATGGTAGAATCTCCAATATTCACATCGCACCACGACTGCCTGCAGTACCTGCCTACAAACTTGAACGCAACATTTCTGTTTGATCACGATGAGCCTTTCATTGCCGCCGACGCCGCCTCCTCTTCCTCCTATTTGGATTCTTTTCTTTTCTTTGAAGCATTTGGATCGTCTGCTGCTGCTACTGCGGCTGACATGGAATCAGTTTTGCCATTAGCGTGTGCTGATCATCATCTAGGTTGGTGATATATTAATTGAAGCTGCCCGATTCTCCTCATCTCCTCATCTCCTCATCTCCTCCTCTCCTCATCACCTCATCACCTCATCACCTCATCTCCTCATCTCCTTATCTCCTCATCATAATTTAATTAAATAAGAGCACTTGTATACTTGGGAGTAGAATCTGTTTTTATGAAAATGCAAACAATATATTAACGAGGCAGAGCTTCGCACAAAATCTGAATCAAACAGAACAGTCCTCTATTTTTCTTTGGCAAAATCATACACCTAACATGTACGGTGTACCCCAGGCAGGCAGGCTCGGTAGAGTTGAATTACCCACACATCACATGGATGAAATTAAAAAGGAATTCGAGGCCTTCGAGCTTTGATTTCTCTCAACTAATGAATCAACTTTTCAACTCGACTCGTAGTCGTATGATACAAAACTTCACAGTTGACTTGACTCAATAGTAATACTCACAACAAATCACAAGTAAATCCGGTACTGAATTAAAAATAAATAATAAAAATTTGGCCAATTGATGATTGTATCATAAGAATTGACTTGATATATTGTAAAAATCACTAATGCAGGTAAACCGACAAATACGAAAAATAAGCAAATTGTCTAAAGCAATGGTTTGATTTCTATGTCCAAGTTTAAAGTTGATAAATCCAATCCTTTCCTCCCTGGAATGGGAATTGGGAATACATTCATTTACAAAACGTCGTCTAGTTCCTGTTGAGGATACAATAATAAACCATAATCATCAACAGGCAATGAGGGTGGAGTTCCAGGTGGAATGCACGCAGCACCATTCTCACCAGCACATATACACAGAGCCTCCGCATCCCTCACAACTGCATCAAGATCTATATGACCACTCAGCTCATTAATGAACTTCAATAGAGTGTCAAAGTCCATCTGCTCCCCGATTATCTTACTACGGTGTCGCTTCAATATCGCAACACACACATACAGGTGCAGGTGCTCAGACGGATAATGTGCCCACAATACCTCCCACAACCGCATTGTTTTGTCGAATTCAAACTCCCTAAAGATATGTGATGAAACTCTATTAGGAAACAGGGAGCAAAAGTAAAATACAGTAACATTGTGTAGTAATGATCAACTATACAGTAACCCCCCCCAAGCATATACGTACACATGTACATTGATTAAACAGAATGCGGAACACTAAATAATCAACTAGTAGATCAAGGAACCAGACCTTTTAAATTGTATTAGAACCCAGCGGAAACAAAAGAAGTAATTCAAGCAGTCATGCTGTGTAAAGTGATTGTGCAGCGGAATGTCTAACAACTCCACCAACTGCAACAACAATGATTTAGAATTAATTAAAAACATAGAACTACTATTGCTGCCTGGCAAAACAAATGTAAGGTAAATAGAGGACCAAGCCACCAAATCTTAACGTCTAATAACTGGCATTAAAGTTTTACTACACAATTTATGCAGATTGCTTGTTGTGCTATCCAATGTTTCCATCACACATAACATGATGGCATGTACGAGAGAGAGAGAGAGAGAGAGAGAGAGAGAGAGAGAGAGAGAGAGACCTTAGTTATTGCAAAAAGTTGAGAGTGCATGCCATTTTGGTCCCGGTTAAAATTGGGCCCAAGACGCTCCATCAGTGAAACAAAACACCAAAATGTGTCTGACTCATCCTCCATTACAAACAATATTGGGGACAGAAGATCACTCATGCCCTGCAAGACAAAAGAAAGATACATATACATAACGAATACAAGGAACACAGAAGCTCTGATTGAACTGGGCTATGAAGTAACATATTACGACAACTAACAATTAGGAGTTCATTATTTAAAACATCACCACAAGAGACAGGAAGATGATCAACACAATATATCATGAACTATCCAAACCACATTTTGATGATAACATTGTACAATGGTATTTTACTTCAGCTTATTGTGTTTTGCATAAATGTAAAGAAATTCTATGCAGCCAACTGCAGCAAGAATCCACTGGGCACAAGAAGTAATCACCTGACAGTAACCAAGATCAAAGTTGTAAAATGAGTATGTTAACAGTATATCACGTAACAGGTTCACATTTGGATTATCGTCACCATCATAGAAGGAGAGAGATCTGTCAGTCCTTACCTTAAGAAAATTAGAACACAGTTAACAGTTTGACTTAAAAACTGTACTGTTAATTCATACGTGAAATGAAAGATCAAAATAAATTCTGCAAGTTTCATGATACCACATCTTTCTCAATCAGGCCTTTTCTCTCCCTGAATTTTGTAAATCGTTTGGCCTGCTCTGGGGAGATACTCTGCAGAGGAAAATACAAATACATATGTTACGCCACCTAATCAAGCTACTCATGAAAGTTGTGATGTTTGTGCGTGAGAGAGAGAGAGAGAGAGAGAGAGAGAGAGTGTGTGTGTGTGTGTGTGCATCAGTGGATAAAATTACAATAATGCTATTACATACCTGCCATTGCTTCTTTATGGTCTCAAACTCTGACTTCTTAACGGCCCTAAGGTATTCCCTCTCAGCCTCTGTTGAATCATATGCATGGTATCCCAACAAGAACGGCCAGACCTACATCATAATTAAGAATACTAATAAGAAAATGCATAATAATAACAAAATCAATTAGCTCATAATACCCAACATACAACAGTATACGAACCTCTTTTCGTAATTCATGCTCAACTCCCCCATAAAATATTCTCTTTCGTAAAGCTTCATAGTCCATGATCCTCCCTTCATAATCCAAGAAGGTTTTCCACTGCAAAAATAAGTGAAAATTAAACAAAGCAATATGATAATATGCACACATTTCTAGCAGAAATAGCCCAAAGGCATGGAATCAATGGGACATTTTAGATATTCACAACAAAAGTTGCACAAGGAAATCTGTAAAAATGGAAACAACCAATTTCACATGGGCCTGCTTTATTTAATTTTGATAGATACTACATTGGTTCTAATCCGAAAACATGATCCCAACCTCCAATTGGTTAAGGTCTGGCTTTAAGGTTCACTCAAACCAAATCTCATAAGTAATGGGAACCTGATACCCAGGTTAAAATTGTCAATGTGGCATCAATAGACTTTTAAAAAATACAATATGCAGCACATCATGGAATTCCAAAAAGTAGAACACATCACATATATTACTAGTGAAACCAACTCTAGTAAATTTATGCAGGAACATCATAAATCTGCAAGACTTGCAATCAATTTCAGGAAACTAACTCACATCATACCTTCCAGATATGTATGGCTAATAGATATAGTATCATAAAGTTAGCACAGAACTTATCTTCTAAAAGAAAATCCATTACCTCATCAGAGCCCAAAGGTGCCTGCCGTGGTTTTCCCCATACCAGTGATACTTTATCAAACTGCGGAGTTGAAAAAAGATAGTGATTACACTGGGCATGATAATTAGAAGGACATTGTATGCTAGACTAAACTTTAATTACATCTTAAAACCCCATTTTAACTGTGAACTTCTATTGAACACCAAGCCAGAAAAATTCATTGAGTCCATTTACGACTTGATAACACATTGATTGCAACAATTTTTCCCAAATTCCATTAATTAACTCGATAGAATAGAAGAATTACCTCCAGTGAATCTGGGGGAACAGGACTTTTATCAGGGACTTTGTTTGAATCATTAGATGCCTTCTGAGGATAATCAATGGGGGACAGGTTATTACTTCTCCTTTCTATAGCACCATATCCATTACTATGATTATCACGGAAGAGTTGTGAAGTTGTTTCCCGAGCAAATTTGGTCACAAGAGAGAACTTCTCCAACACTTGAATTGAAAGATCTCGTGCAGGATCATGAACCCTTTGTCTTTGCCTCTCGTTGTATTGAGAACTGCTTATACTTCCTTCATAAACATCCCCACTTGTTCTCTCCTGGTTTTCATCCGAAGAGGTCTCACCAACTGAGACAGATGTAGATTGTCCACTTGCACCAGAAAGAGCCCTAGGCAACTCCAAAGATGATAGAGTTCTCTAAAGAAACCAATAAATCATAAGAAAACATTGCAGTTTCCAGCTTGGCAGTAACATCAAGAAGACCATAGTTGACAAGACACAAAGAGCAGAACAATTCCACCTTTCAGTTTGGTCAGACTTCACATTATTACGAGGTTAAGCCATAAAACATATGAAGAACATCACGTTATTATGTCAACAAAACAGCGTTACTGGAAATAGATGATAGGAGAGACTAGGGAGTGGGCAAGCAGGTTAATGTTTAATGAAAGCATGATATGCATTTAAGAAATTCTCTTATTACACTTCCATCATTTTTAATATAAGTCGGATCATTATCCACAGAGAGGGAAATAGATGTTCCATTGTGATGCAGGACAATTTTGCAGCACAAAAATATTATGTATCTATCAACTAACGAAAAATGACTGCCTTATAATACTTGTTGTGTGCTAAGTGCATGCAGAAAAAAAATTGTTGGTACGAAGTATATAGTAATATAAACTGACATTCATCTTGAAGGAGAGGTTTCATTAGCTCAAACAATGCATACCTGGAGAGGATTTTGAAAATCATTAACCAGAAATACATTTGCATCATCAGCTGACCTGGAAATGTTAAACAGAATAAAAATTCGAACTATGGTGGAATAAACCTACAGTTGGAACACCACTTATGTGCAAAATTGCATACCAGTACTACAAACTAAGCACAAAAATATCTCCATCTTATGCGCACGGGCACACAACACACGCTTGCATAAGCATTAACATTACTTCATTCTGAATTGAAGCTCCACATAAACCTTTCCTTTTGGATAAAAATTTAATTCCAAGTTCCAATATATGGACTTCTATCTATTTTTAACTTGCGATGGAGAAACCAAGATCAGAACAGATAAATATAACCTCTATTAACAATAACCAACCTCACAATTAAAACATGTTGCTTTATTGTAGCAAGAAACTCTTTGACTCCTCCATTGTAGAAGTACAGAGGAGGAAATGCGAGTCCTGAAAAATACTTCCTTTCAGACCACATATACAAATATAAACAAAACATCATACAAGAGTATACAGCTTTAGATATAAGCCTAAATAAACCAACCAACAGAACATAGGTACCTAGCTGCAGAAATAGTAAATTGATGCTATATTTAGAAAAACATGACGAGATACAATGAAGCTAAAACTAATTTGCAATAAAAGAAAAAACCAAGATGATACACATTCCATGCCTTTTCTTTCCTTTAAGCTTAGACCATGTACAAGATTTGTTAGCATATCTAGTTGATTTCTTGAATTGTATGCGCCAATTGTTCTTACACAATAAGATAATATCTAAAATTCTTTAGTTTTTCCTTTTAGATTGAAATATCTGAAATAAGTGTTGGGCTATGAAAAAATTCTGATATTATAAAATGTACTTGGAGTCTTGTAACATAATATGATTTGACTTCTCTACTTAATATATCTACTTCCATATTGGTCATACGGATTGGGATCACACCACATTGGGAACATTGGGCACACCAACTAGGCAACCGTTGTGGCTTACCCTCTAAATAGTAAGTATATATCATGTACACAAGGTCCTGAAGAGATTATTCCAATTACTTATTGCACGAGCAAGAGTGTCTACTAAAGCAACCAAACAAACAGTAGCCAACACCATATACAATTAGGCCTTAAAAATCATGTGCAGGTTGTTTTACCTGTAGACAAAACGACAATAATGTACTGCCATCCAAGCGCCGGAGTGTGGCGACGAATGGACCGAACCTCCGTTAATGGCACTGCTCTTATGGTATAAAGATTCCTATCTGCACCATCACAAGCACAAACCACGAGTCAAGAAAAAGGAAAAAGAAACAAAAACATTAATAAATTAACTAAAATTAAAATTCTAAACTCTAAAAATTAGCTTCGGAACCTCTCTCAGTCAGCCTAGCATTCGAGTTTTGCCCTTTGTATGGAATCCATGTCTACAAATTACAGCGAACCAAACACGTTAATAATTCTTTAAAATATTAACAAATACACTAGTAATCAAACGATCAAGATTAATTTAATTGATTAATTAATTAATTAATATTACCATGAATAGAGAAGAGCCTTGCTTGATTAGCCTTAATCTTCCACTAATCCTCTCCGAGGCAAACTGAGTTGGGTGGATGGTAACATTATCTTTCAAGTAAACCACCTCGGCGCCATCGTGCTCGCTCGACGAGCTGTGTTTCCCACTATCGCTTCGCATCATGCTCGCCGAGCCCTAAACCAAACAAATCCTAATTAATTATCGTAAAGAACTCCCAAATGATGAAATTAAAGTTTTCGTTTCCGCAGAAATGCTTACGTGTTGCTGTGACGCAGCGTAATCGGCGTCGTCGGAGAGATCGTGAAGCTCTGGTTCTTGCATCGCTTACGATTTGCAGAAAGATAGAAAGATAGAAGGGGAGAGAGAGAGAGAGAGAGAGAAAGAGAAGAGACGGAGGATATGGTGCTTTTTTCCTTAGTGGCCAAGGCAGTGGGGTCAGCGTGGAGAATTCTTATGGCGAGGTGTGTACACGTAAGCGGTATGGCGCGTCCGCGTATGTTGAGATAGCTTGGGCCTTTATCAGGTGTGAAATTGTTGTATGCATCCGATAGGATTTCTGCCGTTGGTTTTGGAAAGGTCGCTTGATTTGCATTGTGTGACGGAAATGAAATGACTTGCTTTTTTTATCAATAGGTTTTGCAAGTTGGTTAATATTAATATTCACGTGTATTAAAAAGAAAATTAATTAATACTCACATTACGGATACCAAAGCCAAACAAAAATTCCCAACATGAAATGCACCACCTTTGCGCAGAAGGAAAAAAATTTGTTGGGCCAAGCCCAACAGAGATTGTCACTCACACTTTTTCGGGCAAGTTTTGAGGACCACACTTTTTTTGGTTATGATCCTAAATATGGGTATAAAATTATAGAATACAATAATACTATAAGTATTTATTCAAAATTTATTAATATAGTCAACAATATTTTATTATTTTTTATCCAACAAATAACGATAAAATTTGAACTCAATACATTTTTTCAATAAAATGGAAGCTTAGTTGTTGTTAGACCAAATGATTATAGCTTATTTTATCTTATTATCATAAGTAATTAGGTTCAATCTCGGTCAAATATAAGTGAATGAATTAAATGTAATTTTGTTAAATTAAATGTTGATGGTGTGATTAACTTGCAGTTTAGTGTTAAGGGCTTGGGGGTGGTCATTTGAGACGATTAACTTACACGAAATGTTTTCTCCCAAATCAACGGAGCTTTTTGCTCCTATTTTGGGGAAGTCATATGAGCACCGTTTTGTTCTTTTAGAAATGAGTAATGCTACACTTACCACATTTATATCCCACATTTTCATACCACCTTATGTGGCAGATGAAGTGAACAATCACATCAATTAAAAAGTGTCAATAAATCATAAAAGATAAGAAAACTTTAAATTAATTTTAATTGATGTGTTGTCCACCTCATCTGCCACATAAGGTGGTATGAGAATGTGGTAATTGATGCAAAAGAGGTTATTTCAAGCCTTTTTGAGAGTGCTAGAATATTGAGGGTGTCTTAGTAGATGAAGCAAGAAGCCTTTTTAATTTTTTTTTAGTACTCTCCTACGTCAGTTTATCCATTGTGAGTGTAATCAAACATCACATTTTTGGGAAAAGCATACGCTTGTGTCTTTTGAATTTCATGTATGGATGGAGGATAGCCCTTTGTGGCCCCCTGATGTACTAGCTACTGACAAGTTATCTACTTAAATATAAATGAATAAAATACGGCATCACATTAGCTTATATCGAACATTTTAATTTTGATTTAAATAAATTTAAAGAAAATGGATAAGTTGCAATTCCAGTAATTTTAAAAATAAAAAAAATAGACCCCGTTAACGTGTTTAGTATATTATTGAAATTGTTTAGATACAAATAGACAATAAATAAATATTCACTCAAGCAATAACCTCCTATGGTTAAAATGAAATTTATTATAAAAGAAACAACTCACATCATTATGCGTGTACATCTAACCATCATACATGCTATGCATGTGCTCTATATTGCACGGATGTGCTGAAACAGTAAGGACTAAGGAGTGGAGAGAATGCCGAGATTAAAAATTTATGGTAAATTACTATGTCACCCTTATTGTTTAACTCAACTTGTATTGTGTAGAAGATGGATATAACTGTCTTTTTAATCTATTGGTTTGAAAAAGAAAGTTGTCTTTTGAATATGGGCATGTTTGATTAGTTGGATTATGTAGTTGGTAATCCCAGCGAGATGTTTGGTGGTCTAAAAATAACATTAATTGGATCCTTCTAGTATGAAACACATTATTAGATTAGTGTTATTATTTTCAATTCAATGTAATCGAATGCAATCCAATTTTACTTTATAATCCAATGCAATTCAATTATACCTTATAATCCAATGCAATCCAATAATACTTTATATAAGTTATAATCCGATTCAATCCTAATCACCAAATATGACCATTCTATAGATTAAGGTATGATTACTCCCTAATTTTTATTGGTAAAGCTATTATTTTTATTTTTATTTGTTAATATAAAAAATTTCTTTAAATATTTATACGCCGAAGAATCATCATTCCTTCCTCAAGTATTCCCTCCCCTCTCTCCTCTCTTTCCTCTCTCTCTCTCTAGGCTATATATAGTTGTTTACTCTCTCACTGCCCACTGCGTCAAAAAAGCTACTCAAAAGCTTCCTTTTCAATATCAAAAGTTTTAACAGTGTGAGAGTCTGCGAGTCTGCGACTGTGAGAAAGAAAGGGCGTGTTTGGTTGGCCATGGACGCGGAAAGCAACCAGAAATTACCAGTCTCTAGCTCTTCGCAGAGCCAAGAGAGGCTTAAGAAAGGCCCCAAAATGACCAGGAAAGGAGCTTATGCTGCCATTTCCTACATGGCTTCCGCAGGTTCCTTTCTCTTATATATTCTCCATTGCCCATGCCAGCTTCTTCTACCTTGTCTCTTTTTTTTCTTTTCAGCACTAATGCCTGTATGATCGGTGTGCCATTTTCTTTCATTTTTTTTCTTGTATGGTTTGCTCTGTTTGGTTGATCAGAAACGAAAGGAAAAGAAAAGAGTTTTGGAATTTAAAAAGATTTCGGTTTTTTTATTTTTCTTATTGATGTGATTAACATAATAATTACTGTTAGGCTGAGTGAGGAGGTGTATTTTGTTTCCTTGGATAAAAAATACATTATATTTGTTTATATAGCATTGTATACAGTGACGTATATATGTACATTTGGTTTGGGTTAAAATTGTATACAGTGAATAGGCAAAGGTTAGGACATAACTGGGAGAGGATTTGTGGGGTAGTTATTGACTAAAGGATCTTTGAAGAGATAATGTGGTGGGGGCCTTGGAAGGCAGAAGGAACTTATGGTGGACGCATTGATGATTCCATAAATAATGGAGCAGTGAGTCAGTGACAGTGAAGGGGCAGAGGAGAACTTCTGGTCGTTGTAAGTTTAGACAAAGAATTAGAAGTAAGTTTAACTTTTGCACGGCCATTGTTGAAGTTAAGAGCATGCCTGTGATCAGGTGAGATGGTATGGTAGGAACTGGTAGTGGGTGATGTTGTTGAATTATGCAGATATACTTTTGACTGGAAGGTTTTGAAATATGTAGGACTCAGACAAACAAAGGACTGTTGATGAGATAACGAAGAACTGTTAATGCTCTGTTTTTACCGGCTTATACTTGTTTTTCTTTAATGGGGTTTTCAGCATTGCTCTCTCAGTGGTATGTGATGTCAGAAGTGCACTGATCGCAATTGTTTGTGTCTAGTTTCTGTTACCTACCATTCAAATTTCAATGTATTGGTTAATAATTGTTCATGAAGGCAGCTATTCATTGTGCAGTTCTCTTGATAATGTTCAACAAAGCAGCCCTGTCTTCATACAATTTCCCATCTACAAATGTCATCACACTTTTCCAGGTAGCATATTTGCTAATTAAGTTGGTTTTTTTTTTTATGACTTTTCCAGGTAGCACATTAGCTAATTGAATGGTACCCTCTTTTTTCTTCAGATGCTATCATCATGTACATTGCTGTATGCAATGAAATGTTGGAAGATTATTTCTTTCACAACTGAACCACAGATCACTACAAACAATCCAGTAACTCTGGTACCATTTAAGACGTTGGTTCACACTCTTCCTCTTGCAATATCCTATTTGCTTTATATGGTAGGTATAGTATGGATAATCTTTCACATTTTTTGGCTATACATTATATACCAGTTTCCTTCTAATGATGGATATCTATAATTCTTATGGTGAAAGTTGGTTACAATGGCATCAGTGCGTGGTATAAATGTTCCCATGTACACCACCCTCAGACGGACTACAGTTGCTTTTACAATGATTGTTGAGTATATTTTGACAAGGCAGAAACATTCATATCCTGTTGTGGGCAGGTACGCAATCATTTACTTTTCCCTAATAGTTTTGTGATTAGTTCTGTGTTGCTAACACCTTTAATGGAATGCATCCAAGGACTTCATCAGTGTCGGGATAATTATACTTGGTGCAGTTGTTGCCGGAGCTCGGGATTTGTCATTTGATGCCTATAGTTATGGTGTTGTTTTTGTTGCAAACATCTGTACAGCAATATATCTTGCTTCTATAGCTCATATTGGTAGTATCTTCGTTCTTCTGTCATCTTATGCCTCATTTATTTATGCGAGACTTGGGTATATATTAGGTAATATTATTAATACATAATATGTTTCAATCATGCAGGTAAGTCCAGTGGTCTTAGTACCTTTGGCCTAATGTGGTGCAACGGTGAGATAAGTCCTAACTGAAATTTATATGTTCACCTTGAGGTTCATTTTTCCATGCAAAATGTACTCTGGTTGAACTAACTTTCTATAGAAATCTGTTTTCTGTATTGTTGTAGGAATAATATGTGGACCAATCTTGCTGTTTTGGACCTCAATCAGTGGTGAACTAGGAAGGATGATAAACTTCCCGTATTTATTCTCCCATGGGTTTCAGGTGCTCCCCTTTCATGAGAAGAATTGTCATTCTGATAGTACAACCACCAGTATTCTTCAGATTCTTCACTGTTTGCTATATATATACTCACTCACTCTCTCTCTCTCTCTCTCTCTCTCCTCTCTCTCTCTCTCTCTCTCCTCTCTCTCTCTCTCTCTCTCTATATATATATATATATATATATATATATTCTGTATGGTAATTATGTTGGTGATTTGACATTGCCTCTACGTCTTCAAATTCAAACTGGTTGTTAATGTGCCAGACATGTTTCTGTTACTTGGTATTGTTAACTTATTCTCAAGCCGGTCAACATGTCTGTCTCCTGGTTGGTCTGGTGCTTAAGCACAAAAACATTAAACGGAATTCTAGTTTCTCATAAAAAGAGAGCAGTATTTTAGGCTCTAGCTGTTCCATACAACCCTTGTCCTTGCAGCACTTGGAAAGTTTTCTTATTAATACATGTCGATACGTAATTCCACTTTGATTTCATTAGCCTACAACCTTCTCCAACAACTCCTTGTTAGCGAGTTCATAATATGTGACAGAAATTTGTGAGTGTCCGATTTCTTTAAAACTTGTACTTCTATTTTTTCTTATCCATCAACTCACTCATTTTGGTATCCTCTTTTGAGTACTTTGTATCAATATCTGGGTCGGATGCATCTTGTAGTTCCTCTGTAACTAGCTTATGATTAACTACAGTCCTTTCTCGAAGAAATATTAGACTGGTTCCAGAAAACTACCTTTTATCTATATTTACTTTGTTTTCCTTTACTAGAGAGCACTGCATATATCTGCCATTGCCATCATTGGAATTTTTTACATGTGTGAGTTGAACTTTCTGAATTGGAATGTTTTGCAGGCTGTGATGCTTTTTTCCTGTGTTATGGCTTTTTCAATAAATTATTGCGTATTTTGGAATACAACACTCAATTCAGCTCTCACGCAGACAATTTGTGGTAATTTGAAGGTGTGTAACTCTGTTCGGAACTTTTGCCACACTGACCATGCCGACAATTCAAGTGTTGGTCATGCCATATTGATATCATCATATAGTTGTGTTCTCTTGAAAATGCCGCATTGCTGTTGAGTGTAGAATGTCAAGTCAAGTGGCTTCCATGTGGTTGTCACCTTTAGGTCAAAAATTCACCAATATAATATTTCTGCAACATCATTTCTTGTTCAATTAAAAAAGAGATTTTATTCATATATCCATTTTTAGCACTAATAATATAGATAAACCCTACACCATTTAAATTCTATAAACAAATATAAAAAAAACCCAAAAAATGACAGCTGGTCTTATTGAATTTAATTTTGATTATAAAATTACTTTGATACCCTATTCAGTGTTTTGGGTTTTTTTATGAGATTTTGGGGTCGGATTTGTTTTAAGAGATCAATGACAGTTTTGTAATTTAAAAGAGGTTAAAAGTCTTTTGTTATGTTGTAAATGGGCTTTGGGTGTGTTTCTAAAGTCCATTTCATATATGGTTTTTTTTTTATAATTTGGACTCCTATATTTGGTATAATAATGAATCTCCCATTAAAAAACCCATAGAGGTGATGGCCCAAACGATGCCGGCTGGGTGAGCCACACCCTGTCAGTTTTCCCAATGATCCATCAAATTGTTTCAAAACTATCCCAGAAGTTTGACAAACATAGAGCACAAGATGGTGAGAATTTTCAAGTGGTATTCAATTATTCAAGTGGCAGACCTTGTTCAATTTTCAATTTGCTACTCCAAACTGCTGGACTTGATATCAGCATTTAGTTGTTTACCTTGAACTGACCAAAAGGATAGGCAAATTTCCAGTTTTGTGATAGTTTTATCATATGCATGCTACTATTGTCTCTCATCAATCGCAGCTCATCCCTGTACATGCTATTTTAGGATCTTTTTACAGTTGGACTTGGCTGGTTACTGTTTGGTGGGCTCCCGTTTGATTTGGTAAGCATAAACTCCCATTAGCCTGAAATTCCAGCAATGCTCATTACTGACAGTGAATATTTTGCTTGCTTTTCATGTGAACTACTGCCCTGCTTTACCTCAAGTTGAATGTTGCTGGCCAATCTCTTGGTTTTCTTGGGTCCTGTTTATACGCTTACTGTAAACTCCGAGGGAAATAAGAAGCAAGCATGGCTGGCTGGTTGGCTGCATCAAGTCTTTCCTTGATAGAAGAGGTAAAGTGCTCCAATGACTGGGAATGGCTGCCTGCATCAAAATTTGATTTGTATCCTCATGAGGAGGTTTCTTAATGAAAAATAAATATAGTTTCTTTATTAGCTACTCTCAAAAGATTAAAATTTTATCAAATATTTGCACAAGTTCTGATTTCACCTAATTAAGGTCCCAAAGTAAAGACAATATTGTCATTGGAAAGAACCAGCCAGTAGCAATTTGCTAATTAAGTAGATTTGACGTCTCATTGGAATAATTTAGACACAATTTTTATTTATTTATTTGACGGACAGGAACTTGTAGTTTTTCACTCACTTTTGAACAGAGAAAAAGGCTCTCTTGTTCTTAAAGTTGTGAGGGGTTCTGAGAATTTGCAGAGCCTAGTGGTTACCATATTTTGTACAATGACGTTAGTGAATGAGCTTTAATCAGTGAGGTATAGGTCGGTCGTGCAACAAATGAATGGCTCGACAGGGATGGCTCAACTCAGCCTCAGGTGATGAGCTTTTGTCCTTGTCCCCACCGCCGACCCGTTTCATGTTGGGTAGCCCGTAAAATAGTTTGGAGGTCGTAGGAACTTCGCTTGCATGTGGAGACTTTGGCCGAATGAATGCCATGCATGATTGAAACATAAATGATATCCCCCCCTGATATTTGCAAAAGCATAATTCGTTCTAGCTCTCTAGGCAACAGGCCAGCTGCTGAAACAACTATACACAAAGCATAAAGAAAAGAAAAGAAAAGGAAGTGGCGTGTAGTGTGGGAGGCAAGAAATTAACAACAAAAAAAGAGAGAGGAGAGAAGAAAAGTGATTTCAAATATTCTGTTTGAAGAAAGAAAAAGAAAACTGTTAAGAAAGTATGTTTGCTTTCGAGATGAATATAAAAAGGCGAATGCAACATGGCATTGGCCCGCCGCTTAGGCTGAAAGAAATCTCTCTCTCTCTCTCTCTCTCTCTCTCACTTATGAGTAGACCATGGATGTCTCTTTGTCTACCTCTTTAATCAGGACTAGTCTCAAAAACAAAAGGACCATAAGACCAGCATTCAGCTGACTTCTGACCTTGGAATTCATATTTCTTCCTTCACCAATAATAATAATAATAATAAAATAATAATATTGCTGTTGCAACTATGCATAGATATGATATGCATAAGCTGAAAAAGAAAACACAAACAAATAAACAAAAGAGAAATAAGCTGAAACTAGGGAAAGGCAGGCAGGCAAAGTAGAGAAGAGAGAGCAGGCGTAGAAATTCATTAATTGCTTTTGACCTCCTCTCTCTCAGTCTCAGTCTTAGTTTAGACTAAAGATATTGGAGAGAGAGACCTAGGATCTGGTGTGGAAAGAAATTAAAGATGAGCATTTGGAATGGTTTAAGGCGTGGGGGAATCTGTTTGGGTAGTGGCACGCGAACTTGTTATCGCCCCAAATAATGAGAGAGAGAGAGAGAGAGAGAGAGAGAGACTTTTTACTAGTTGTAATTTTGAGAGAGTTTTAATTAAATAAAAGGTAAGGGGGGGGGGGGGGGGGGGGGGGGGGGGGGGGGGGGAGAGAGGAGGTTCTTTTGCACTTCCCAAAATCTGCAAAGAGAAGAAGAGAAAGGCAAAGGATGGATGGCCCTTGAAAAAAAGAGAAGCAAATAATTAAGTATGGGAAGGTGAAGGGGGAAAGGGTAGACAAAACCAAGGAAAGTGTCCCCCAGTGGAGGCCCTAGGCAGGGCTTCTTTAGCGCCGGTGTCTCCGCTCAGGGTTGTTGCCTATTTCGCCTATTTTTTGCTGCTTCTCTCTCTCTCTCTCTCTCTCTCTCTCTCTCTCTCTCTCTATAAGTGTGTAATTGCTTGCATGCTAATTAAACAAAACTCTGTCTGTTTGTGTCTGTGTTTTTGTGTACGTGTGTCTCTCTCTTTCTCTCTCTAAACTAAGTGTGCATTTGTGTTGTGTGTGTGAAAGATATAGCAACTTTGTACGTACTTCTTCTTTACCCTTCCAAAAACTTATTCTTTTTAGACAAAATCCCTTCGCTGACATTCTGCACTCATGTTCCCAAGATTCCCCTTCTCTCTCTCTCTCTCTCTCTGTGAAGACTGGCTGCACACATCATCTTCTCTTTTGACCCATCTTTTTTGGTTACATTCACTAATTCGGTTAGCTTGACACAGTTTGCATAATAAGATCGGAGGTCTATATACTGCTACTTTAACCCACTTAACACCTTATCTTTTTCATCCTACTTTCTGTTCACCATTTGATGATGCTGATATATATATATATATATATATATATATGTGGACTCAAGGCGACCCACATTTTGGTATCGATCGGTTTGTATGGAAAGAAAGAAAAAGAAAAAAGGTTTGTTTTATTTATTATTATTATATACATGGCGTACAATATTATTATTACATATAAGCCAAGCATCTTATTCTTAGGTTAATTAATTAATCACATATTGCAAGCATGGCATACAAAATTGAAAAGGGTGGGGGCTAAAATATTAATAAAATTAGTAGAAAGAGAGGCACAATCAAAAGGAGTTGTTTGGGTTTTTTGGTGGGAGAATATTTTCAGGTGCATGCGCAGGGGAAGGTGTTTGATTTATTTGAGTACAAACTAAGCATGACAAACCCTAAAGTAAGTGTTGCTCCCCATTGACATCATTCCACTCACCTTCTTCTTCTTCATCCCTTCCCATCCCGAGGCAAAACCTACCAGTATACATTCTCTGCCTCTCCACCCCTTCCCTCCTCACTCCTCACTCTCTCAGCTCTCTCTCACAAATATCACTTGCTTTTCCCTTCCTCATCGTGTGTCATATCTCTTTCCATGAGCTCTTTATTTCTGAACCTCTTAGGTTGAATCCTTGTAGAAACTCTGCATATTAGGTTGTTTTCTATTGCTGCATGTAATGTTTGTATCATGCATGATTCTAAAATCCCACTCCAATTACTATTGATTTTTTGTTTATCCCTTGATTATATACTTAATTCCTATAGCGGAGTATAAAAATGTTATTGCCCTATGAATTTGAATCGATGGGGCCATTTGGTTATATTTTGAAATCCAACAGACCCACTACTTGCTCAATTCCACACCTACAATCCACTATACCTTGACCTTCCACTTCACCAACCTATCAGCCACCTTAATTTAATTTCTGTACAAGGATATTTACCTAAAAACTATATTATCCGATGATCACTATTGTTCTTTTGTAATTATATTATAATTTGGTTCGAGGGACATGGGCCCATATTTGGTATTCTTTATTCAAGTACTTTTGCTCCTTTTCTTAGGTAAGTGGCAGCAGCCCTGCTTAAAAGGCAAAAAGATCGCCACAAACTCCTTAGCTAGCCCACATGTTTTGAACATCTTGACGTGTTTTCGGGGTCACGGTGAAATGAAAGAACATCTGCTTTATTGCTTAGCTGTTTTTTTTTATGTTAAAAAAATTATAAGAAAGATCATTTGATGGATCGATATGCACGTTGGGGAAGCAAAAGAGAAAGCGATGTTGGTGAGGTTCAATCCGAAGACAGATTTACACATGCCTGCTGCCGTAAATTGATCTCAGATTGAGCCGCGCCAATATCACTTTCTCAACTAATTGTTGCTTCTTCTTCTTCTTCTTCATCATGATCAATTGATTTCCTCTCTCTAACCTCATCTACATATATGTTCTTAATTAAGTGACTTGTCGCATGATGATATTGCATATGTGTTAGTTTAATGTTAATTTCTGATCAAATGTGCACAACAGGTTAATTCGAACTTTTGATCAAATGTGCACTTTCTAATGTAAGATATGTGCAGTATAATTACTTCTTCTTTCTTCCTTTGTGATCCCCAGCAGAGATGCTGCATGCTATACTTCATTTCTGATTCCAACCAGTCCTCTCGATCTAGCTAGAGATCGATCACAGATATGCAATCTCTCTCTCTCTCTCTCTCCTCTCTCTCTCTCTCTCTCTCTCATGTAATTTCTTGTGATCGATGGAGAGAACTTTAATGACTTTCCCTTCATGTACATTTCTGTTAACTTGTATTCTTTGACAATTAATAGTCAGTCAAACAAGTCAACTCTTTACTTTTCATAGATGAATTCTTGATCAGGTTGAACACATTAACATATAAATCAAAAGTCCAATAAATTAAGTTAATGTTTGATTACATCTCTTATAGAGGTGTGACGACCAACTCAACTCACAGATTTAAAAATATTATCTGTATTTGAAGACAAAATAAGAGTAATGAGAAGAAGTGGGACTTCATGTCGTCCACGGGTAGCAAAGAAAAAAAAAGACGACAGGAAAGTTATTGAATCATCAAATAATATGTAAAAATTATTCGGTGGAAGGCTACAGTTCTGGTCGGTGTCGGTTTTCATAAGTTGAGCTTCGTTCTGTTTTTGACGTTTCTGTTTGTAACCCGATGCTACTTGTTGTGCTACACAGCTTCTTAGATCTGTAACCTAACCGCTTTCATTTTTCATTAGAGCATTTGGCCAGCCATGATCAGTTTGGCATATGCAACCACCCCCACCCATATTGTTAGTTTTTAGGGTAAACCTTTGACCTTTAAACCAATCACTTGGAATTGGTTTTTTTAAGACTCTGTGGACCAAAAATATAGCCTAGTCTGTAGGGGCTTTAGAAATTGATTGATTTACCACCCTCCCTATATATTCTGAAATATCCTGAGCCTTCATTCAACTCAGACGCGTTACAAACAGCTTTGGTTTCTCATATTTCTCTTAGCTAACTCCATCAAAGCCTACCAACAGATTTATTTATTTATTTTGTAACTAGCTTGCAAGTGCATTCATCGGAGGAGAACCATCCATTTCGTTTATAGGGTACTTCACTTCTCATCCCAGGCCGAGGAATTTAGATTTCTTGTTGGATAATTTTGTGTTCGTATGAAATGGAGGTGGGTACTTGGGAACCGGAGTTGACCAACGTCTCCGCCTGCACCCTATGTGTTCCGGCATCAATTTCCCCTGGACGGCTGCTCAGCGGCAGCGTTGGAAAGAATCATGTCTACCAAAAGCTGCCCCAACAGCCCCTTAAGCTCTTCGTTATCAAATTGGACGGCTCTAGCTTTGGTAGATGTTTGATTGAGTCGTGCTCATGATTTATTTATCGTAATTAATCTTCTTCTTTTTAATGGATGTAGAGGTGGAAGTTCTGAAGACGGCGACGGTGGCCGAACTTAAAGAGGCAGTGAAGGATGTTTTTAATCAGTCACCAATAGATGAAATGATTTCATGGTACGCACGTATACGATGTGCATGGATTTGGGTTTATGTTTTGAAATTAGTAATTAGATTTGCTACATGTTGCACAGCTTCATAAAATATTTTGATTTAACAATTCAAATTTCTGATCACAGGTCACATGTGTGGGGTCATTTTTGCTTATGTTATCAAGGCCAGAAGCTTCTCGATTATAAGGCATCTATCCGACTTTTTGGAATCAAGGATGGCGACCAGGTTGAGATCTATTTTATTTTTTGTCATCTTAATTTTAATTTATATATCTAATATTTAGTGGCTTAATGATCGTATTGTTGTGATTAAATGTACAGATATGTTTTGTGCGGCATGTTTCAATTAAGTATGAGGGCCGGGAAAAGAGACGAATAGGGTTGTGGAGGAAAAGGATATATGACAGCCCTGCCTATGAACAGCTTGTGATGAACAATCATTACACGTGATGAATTGCCATGCAGTATTAGGCTTGTGGACACGAATGCTTCCACAGATGACAAATCTGATATTCTTTCTTTTTTTTTTTTTTTTTTTTTTTTTAGTCATTGTGTTGTTTATAGGTGCAGTAGATTCACAGGAAAATTGTAAATTGTTGAAATAACATGGTTCGATTGTGACCAAAATCGAAATCGATAAATGTTTCAAGCACCAACGATGCCATGGAAATTTAATTAGGAGACTTATAGAAGGGTAGGTAGGCGATCAAACATGTTGATGAGAGGAGGATATCTAAATGTCTTACTCTGCATAATTGTATAGTTAGCCATGAGTTTGGACTCACTGCAGAACTCATTAACTTGGACTAATATTCTGCTTTGCTTTGATACATTTTTCTTTTTTGTGTATAGCTAGCTAATTGGACGTAGATCTAATGCACATGTACGTTCGACTTGGTCCATCTATATATTTTTATGCCATTTGTTCCTTTTCTTTTCTTGTTTATAGATGAAAAATTGATTAATGCCCGCGCCTGAATGAAAATAGTACTGCAACTCAAAGAAAATTTTAATTAAGAGCTGGAAAATATACAGAACTCAACTTGCGCTGAATTCGAATACGATCCTGTCCTGCCCTCATCTTTCTTGAAAAATTTAACTAACATCATGAAACTCCAGAGTTTGTAGATTGCGGTTGATGGGATAATAAACCTTACAAGAAATTTGAAGATGAACCATACCATTTTTTCCTTTTGCGGATGGCAAGCATATTAGTTTTGGTAACCAAAAGGAATGCTTCAGTACGTACTGTATGCGCTTTCTGCGTACCCATTTGTATTGTATATGTGTGTGTGGAATAAGTTTAAGGCAGATACGATTTTATTTTTTGGGTAAATAAAAGTAGGGTAGGAAGAAGGAGAGATATCAAAACCAGCCAGCTTGCAAAATGCTCACGTCATAGAAATTTATGCGCGCAGAATAAAGACATGCGCCTTTGCATCTGAATATGTGGACTCTGGAAAGTAGTGATTTTTTTGCAGGAAACACGCTGATACATGATGCTGGTAGCTAGCTTATCTTTTAGGTATGACCTAAAGGTTTTTCATTACTGATTTAATTATTCGGTTCACACTGAATAGCAAAATTTAGAGAGCATGTTAACTTATACATTTGTATATGTAATTAACAGCAAAATCTGCAGAACTGGAAAGATGTAAAAGGAAAGTGCATGTAGCTTTAAATATAAACTCAAAGTGACTGACATTAGCTGCAGAAAATAACAATCTTAGAGAAATGAGAGGTTTATCTAATTACAAGATATCATCAATATATATATATATATATATATATATATCTCAACTGAAACATAGGCAAACCATGACGAATGAGGATTATATTGGTTCCCAAATATTGATGGGTTAGCTGATCTCTAATGCAAGGGTACTTCAAAGGAAAAGGATCTCATATCATTCATCTTTCATAGCCTCTTCCATTGTCCCTTTGGCTCTGAAAAAACTCATACACCCCAAAGTTATACAAACACAAGAAAACTGTCCTCACACAACCCATTTAGCAAAGGCAGGACCTTTGTTGGGTCAGTCAAGGAAAGGGGTTGACCGCCCATCACCTACGTTGCTGCTTGCCAGTATTCAACGGAGAATCTCTGATGCTTTTAGATTGGCTGTAGGTGAGCTGGTGAGCTCCATCAGGTTTCTTCTTGCGCCTTCCTTGTTGAGATAAACGAGAGTGATGAGATAAGATGGCCAGGTCATTAAGATCTTGCAATGGAGTAAGAACCCTCACTACTTCATCCATTGTAGGCCGGGATTTTGGGTCCCTGCTAAGGCAGTTGTAAGCCAATTGTGAGACTTTCTGTACCCCTTTAATGGAGTAATTCAATTCCAAGCGTGGATCCACTAGAAGGGAAAGCTTTCGCTTGTCAGCTAAATGTGGCCGAGCCCAGGCCACAAGGTTTTGTTCTCCGCTAGGGCGTTTCTTGTCCATCGATCTTCTTCCTGTTAAAATCTCAAGTAAAACTACGCCGAAGCTGTAAACATCACTTTTAGATGTCAAGTGTCCTGGAAAAATGAAGGAAACAACAATCGTACTAGTGAGATCTCAAATTGTTTTTGGAACAAGAAATTCAACATGAAGATCCTTGGGTTAATAAGGTTGTAAATCCAAAAAGGCAAATCACAATTGGGCCAATAGGATTAATTAAGAAAAGAAGTTCAGATAGCTGAAGATCATTATGATGTTCTTAATTTTCCTAGTGCTCTGTTCATACGGTTCAACTTGTTTTCCTTCCAATGTAAACATTAAACATACATGCTATCTTCAGCTAGTCTCCTGAACTTCTAATTCTCACAGAAGACTTATACTGTATGTGAAAGTTTGAACAGACTCAAATTACTTTGAACTATCTGCTATGACTTTCTTACCTGTCATCACATACTCTGGAGCAGCATAGCCATATGTTCCAACAACCCTGGTAGAAACATGTGTTTTGTCTCCCTGAGGCCCGGCTTTCGCCAAACCAAAATCTGATAGCTTTGCATTGTATTCCTATAGAGAAAAACCAATTTGTTGAATCCTTTAAGCAAAACACTCAACATGGTTAATCAACAGTATTAAGGTATATACCGAATCAAGTAAAATGTTGGATGTCTTAAAATCTCTATAGATGACTGGTTCTGGACCATTATGGAGAAAGGCCAATCCTTTTGCCGCACCAAGTGCAATCTTAATCCTATTGGACCATGGCAGAGGTATAGTCCCTTCAAACATTTTGAACAATCAGAATCAGCATCCATATCATAGTATACAGTATTAAATAATTAATATTAGAGAGAATACAGGCACTAAAGATGGGGAAAGCAGATACTCAGTGGGGAAACAGCAGCCTACTAACAGGAAACTGAAAGTCATTGTGATATTACACTACCGGCAAGACAAAATTTTCTGACTAAAGTTAGGAACTAATTATGCCTAGAAGGTGTTTTGATGGAGAATCCAAAATGAACCACATTACAAGAGATTTAACAAAGATGACAAGGAAGAACAGACAACAAAACATTTCACTCACTTCTGAAAAGATGATTTTCAAGACTCCCGCGGGTCATAAACTCATAAACAAGCAGCCTTTGATCATCTTCAATGCAATATCCAATAAGCTTTACAAGATTAGGGTGGTGGAGCTGTCCCAGAAAGTCAACTTCGGCCTGCATCAAAGAAATTGTCACATGTCACCTTCCAACTTTTCAGTACCTCAAGGACAATCCTTTATCAGCAATAATCTACTAACCCAAGGCAGATATTCTACTAACCACCCATTCTCTATGGCCTTGGAGACCATCTGGCTTTAAGCTTTTAACTGCTACTGTAATCCCTGATCCAGGTTTTGCTGGTGCTGTTCCATTTTCCTCTATCCACCCTTTGAAGACGTATCCAAATCCACCTTCGCCTAGAATGCTATCCGGTCTGAAGTTCCCGGTTGCAGATTTGAGCTCCTGAAAAGTAAATTGGAGCAACTGGCGAGTAGGCTTCTCATCTGATGGTGGTGGATTGGGAGTATCAGAGGATAATTGGGCTTCATTAGGGGGCAGGAGGTCCCTATTGCTAGCGTTAAGATATCTGGTCTCCGTTGCTGCAATGAAGGAATGAGCCTTAACAACAATTCTTCAATCACAAGTCTTTCTAATGCTTTGCTTGACATTTTGAAATAGAACATAAAGATACAACTTGCACAGATACTGAAAAATTCAACCAACATTCCAGCAGGACTGAACTTATGCAACCAAATTGAGCTAAAAGATCAGTTAACTAAAGGGCAGGAAACTCAAAATTTTCAGATGTTTGTGATATTAATCAGATAAGTGGCATGAAGACCGTGTCACATTTATAAGGACTAACACTGCGGTTTCCCATCAATCAAGGAAAAAAATTTATGCATCCACGAGAAGGAACCAGGTATAAATCACTCTCATAGTCTTCAGTGGCCACTGAGTTTGACTAAAACAAAAAAAAAATTATTGCAAATTTTGGTGAATAAAGGTCAGGATAGAGATCTTGGAGAGAAACCAGCAGAAACCAAGTTCGAGATCTGGAGTATAAATTACCACTACATCGTGATTTCTCAATTCAAATAAAACTGCAGAGACAGTTCTGAACAACAAAATTTTGAAACTTTGTTGAGAAAACAGGGGAAAGCTGAGTATAGAATCACCCCCCGATTTTAAAAAAAACCACTGAAGCTGTTTTGATTTGCTTGAAAAATTCACAGAGATAGACAGAGAGAGCGTAGTATCAAAAGTCTGCGAGAAATTGAAGACAGAACACACCCATAAGAAGATTCAAATGGCGCATTTATGAAATAATTAGATCAATCTATAAGATTCTAAGATTTTGAGAAAACACATAAATACTGAAAGTTGCAGAATGAAAACGCAAGCTATAGAATATATACCTGCATCATAAACAAGACTAGTGCGAGGGATAGTGTTAACAGAGTCTTTGGAGGCAGAGGACTTGCAGGTACCACTAACGCCGCGTTTGAGGACAGCCCAGCACCCACACTTGTTGTCCATGGCTCTTTCAAGGTCTTAGCTTTCATGGGTTTTCAACATAATTGCATGGGATCGATGTGATGGAACAGATAGAGATATTAACCATGCTTAAGTTAAGAGTGTAAATAACAGAGAGGAGGAGATAGGAGAGGTATGGTGAAGAGAGAGAGAGAGAAAGAGACAGAGAGGAAGAATTTGTGTTGGTTTTTTTGGTAGTATTGTTGTTGCTGCTGCTGCTGTTGGAGATTGCAGGCATCATCATCGCCATCATCGCAGTGTGTACAAAAAGAACTTTTTTGCCACCACCTTTTGTGTGGGGGATGGATGGGAACGCCTCTCTCTCTCTCTAGGCAAAATTACCTACAAAAAATTACCTCAAACATTGTACCCTAACAACTGTTTTGGCAAGCAAGGGAAACCTACACAGCCAAATCCATGTCTTTGAACATTTGTGTAATGAACTAACTATATTGGATGTTTGGAAATGAATTAGAAATGGCATGTTAAAAGTTCTTATAACATGAGAAGGCTGTGTGTAATATGTGAAAGTGTATGACTGACTAGTTTGGGTTTATTATTAGCAGATCAAGTGTGCCTGATAGGCTGATACAATATTGGCACCTGAGCTGAAACATCTTTCCATATAATTAGTTTGTAATATGTAAGAATTAATCTTTATTAGCTTTCCTAATTGAGGGCCAAATAAGTTTTCCTATTAGTAAACAATTCTTGCTTGTATTATTGTTTGGTCAAAACTAATAGAAAGACAGTCAAGAGCATATTTGAGTGCAATCCCATCATTCACTCTCTCTCTCTCTCTCTCTCTCAAATGGCAGTGTAGATATATATTCCTATATGGTTTTGGGTGGGAATTAGGAGGCTTATCATAGGTGGGGTTTTTCTTTTCTTTTTTTCTCCTTGAGGGGCCTTTTCAAAAGGAAGAAAGAAAGAGTGAGTGGGGGAGAGAGGGGGAGGGGGGTTGCTTGGTGAGAGGTCATTTCATCAACCAACCATAAAACAAAATTGTATTCCATCTATGATGCTTTGGGTGAAGAAAAGCAATATGAGATCATATTCTTTTTCTTCTACACACTGTGCTTTGCAACTTGACAAATGCCCTGTTGGAAAGGAGTTTATGCCCATTGCCCCCACTAAGTGTGTGGGTCTCACCGTCTCAGTGTAGGCCCCACCACAGAGAGAAAGGGAGAGAGAGAGAGAGAGAGAGAGAGAGAGAGAGAGAGAGAACACCTGACTGTACTACTGACTGGTGTAAGCCCACTCAAGGTCATCATCATATGGGCAAACAAGATATCCTATTTCAGAGGTATAAAGTTACCAGGCTATATAATTGATGTAGGAGAAAGATGAAGATGTACTGATGAGATGCTTTCACATTCATAGTAATGCTAATGCACATATGTGCACTGCATTGCCAGTATACCAAACCCTTTTCAAATTGGACTAATGGGTACCTGTTGGGCAACATGTAGGACCTGAAATCAGGTCATGCATTTTGCATATATGATCAAGCTACATCAGATCTGATCTGGGTAAAAGTCTTATAACCTAGTTACCTACCTAATGGAGACTATAGGTTATAATCTGATGAAATTTTCTTGGGCATAATAACATGAAATCCTTCCTGTTGATAAACAGCACCCCACAGAGACAGAGAGAACCATGCATCAACTGACGAGGTGCCCTTGCTGGATAGGTTCAGAGATAGAATTAATCCCAAGAATATGTGATTGATGAGGAGCTGCATCTTTTACTAGTTTCCACCAACATGAGTTTCAAAAGCCAAAAACCAACTTGGGTGATTGCAGTACAAGCTCCATCCATCATCACTTGAACTAAGTGGAGGTTGGTAGCATCTTTTGGGTCAGTCTATTAATTTAGACCCAATTTTATTACTCGAGCACTTTTGTGGTTCCAATGATGCTACCTTGCCTTTCCGGCCCTTAGGTTACATATCATGCTTAAAATTGAATTGAATTCACTTAATTCAATGTATGTTGGAGAAAGAAATGTAAGTTCATTTTTAAAAATTGTCTAAGTTGAAAGTAAAATAATAGGATATCAACATGTTGAATTTCGAAAAAAAAATAAATAATTGAAAGGTTGCTTTTAATCTTGTACTTTAAAATACCTTGAATCTAGTGAGTTTATATATCCAATCTAATCACAGACACTAAACATGATATGAAGAAAAAACCATAGAATGAAGTGTCTTGGGAAGTTTTCCAAAGAGAAGAATGGAATATCAACCATGGTAAGAAAATCGATCAGTGCACCAAATTCATATTCAATTTCTTTATAATGTGCTATTATCATACAATTTGTATTGGCAATTTGATAACATAACATGATAGACACGATTAATAAAATAATGCGTAATTGTGTGTTACCTTACATGAGACTTGCAAACCAAATTAATTGGGTATGAAATAATTTGCTTGGTTATTGGAGACGTTTTCCTTGTTGAGAGAGTCCATGCAAACAGAAGTTGGGTTGGGAGCAAGTGAACATGGGCTTGGCCCTCTGCCACTAGTATCATATATGGAGTTTGAGTTGGGCCTTAATGGATCCAATCTCAGTCTCCATTTATTGCCCCCCCCCTATCCTAGCCCACTCTAAAATCATTATTATTTTTATAATTAAAAAAAGAAGAAAAATAGAGAGAGATAGAATTCCAACTTATTGACTTGCAATCCAGGGCGGCACCAGTTACTTGAACATGACAACAACACACATCCCACCTTTGACCTTCCATGCACTCTCAAGCAAAGCCCAATAGCATCCAACCACGTACCCCACTAACCAAATAAATTTCCATTTCCTTCTATGACGTGGCTTGATCTGATTCGCCCTTCCTCGGACCCAGGCGTTACTCGATCATCAGTTCCTGACCGGTGGCTCGTCTCGAGGGAAACCCAAAAGGCCAAAAAAGCCATGGGAGAAAGCAAAGCACCCGCCAGGCTGCTTGCTCATCAGACACACAACACAACCGATTAAAACCCCACACAAAATTCCTCTATTGTTGAAGAAAACCAATTAATTTAAACAAAATTGAAGAAAAACAAGAAGATAATAACTGAAGAATAGGGGTTGAAGAGAAAGGGGGTTCCGATCTAGATCGGAAATTAGGGTGAAAATTGGGAGAAATACGATCGAAACGGTGCGCTGCATGAGAAGGGAGAAGGTGGGGCAGAGGGTGGAGGAAGAGGAGGCCGAAGAGAGAGAGTGAAAGGCAAAACATGTCTGCCATAGTGTGTGGGAAGAGATCATCGATATTCGAAGAGAACTCGCTGTCCTCATCGTCCCCTCCTGTCTCCTCCTCATCCAAGAGAATCCGCTTTTCTTCTTCACCTGTACGTTTCTCTCCTCCGACTCCTGCTCCGACGTCGTTTGCTTCGCATTTGATCGACCATCTCAGGGCCATTTTCCCGGACATGGACAACCAGGTTCACAATTCATTCATCTTTTCTCTTTTTTATTTGTATTTTTTTGTGCTGAATAAAATTTTCTCTTATTACGTTTAAATATTCAGTTTTTATTATAATATGCATCATTTGAAGCCATAAAGTTGATGTCTTGTGTTTGGATGATCACACATAGCTGCTGCACTGCCCAATTTGAATGCGACCCTAACAATAAAGGGATTAGCGAATCTTAATTTAGATGCCCATCAATAAAGGGATTGTCTTTTCCCCATACTCTGCCTTGTTTATCTCCAATATTGGTATTCTAGTATTGGAATTGCAGCTGATGTTACAATTAGTTAGATGCCCATCAATAAAGGGATTGCCTTTTCTCCATACTCTGTCTTGTTTATCTCCAATATTGGTATTCTAGTATTGGAGTTGCAGCTGATGTTACAATTAGTTTAGCACAATTGTCAAACTACAAATGGAATCCCTCTTGCATGCTTGTGTGTTCGGGGTATTTTTTGTGATAATTGGTTCAAAACTTGATGATCATTTCGTGGCATATCTCACCGTTGAGTTAGTGTCTAATGACATGTTTCTCTATCATTTCTTTTGAATTTCTTTTGCCATATTAGCTCTGTTGCATTCCTAATTTTCTGACTGCCAGTAACCGTTAAGCATATATTTGCGTATGTATACATATGTGTGCTTGTGTATATGTATACAGGACGTTTAACATGCATGACACAGATGCACAATGCCCTTCAATGTAGTTGATCACATTGACTTCATTGTGTAACGCAATTACAGCCCAATGTGATTGGTGATGTCCCGTAGGTAGTTGAAAATCCGCGTGTATATCTGTTTTATTTTCCTTTTCTTGGCAAGGGATCTTAATATCCTTCAATTTTGGAGGATGTGTATCATGTCTGCTCAATTAAGATGACAAATTGCTAAGCATATCTGAATTATTATCCTAGCTTCTGGAGAGAGCACTTGAAGAATGTGGTGATGATTTGGATTCAGCTATCAGAAGTTTGAATGAGCTACGTTTAAGTTCTGCTGCAGGCAAATCTAAAATAGCTTCAGAAGCAAATGTGCAACTCCAGTCACAAGGTATGAGTAGATATTTTCTTGAATTGACCACTTGAACTTGGACTTACGTTGATGGGTGTATCCAGTTTGGTTTTAACACACCCTTGTGTTCTCTTGACAAGTTTATCTTCAACCACTTTTTGTTTTAAGGGTTGTAGCAGAGTATTCTGTGGACTTTCTACTTGCTTTTCCTAGAAAGTTTTGTCTCTGTTATGAAGCATTTGTTTCATTCCACTGTGATTTGCTTTCAAGTAGGGAATCTATAAGTATTTGTCCTCTTGATACAAGTTTTGACATTAAAGGGTGTGGATCAATATTTTGAATCAGGTTCAGCTGCAACAAATGGAGAGGATGCAGTTACTGATGATCCATCAGGGCTAAATAACCTTCCCAAGGATGGAGCGGACTGGGTGGAGCTCGTTGTTAGAGAGATGATGAGTGCCTCCAACATGGATGATGCTAAAGCTCGTGCTTCAAGAGTGCTTGAGGCCCTGGAGAAATCCATCAGTGGACGTGCAACAGCAGAGGCAGCCCAAAGCTTTCACCAGGTCTGATGATATCTTTAATTACTTATTTTGCATGTCCAATGTAATTTTATTTTGTCTAAAAACTTCGTTTTTTCCACCACTTTTTCCTTTACATTAGTTTTAGAAAAATGGTTGATGTTTGAGGATGGAACATATGATAATGGCTTGTTTCTTTCTAATGGCTTAGCTGTACTTATGATTTGCCTTGACGTAGGAAAATATGATGCTGAAGGAACAATTGGAAGTTCTAATTCAGGAAAACTCAATTTTAAAGCGAGCTGTATCCACTCAGCATGAACGCCAGAAAGAGTACGAAGATAGAGGCCAGGAATTGCAGCATCTGAAGCAACTGGTGGCCCAATACCAGGAACAGTTGAGAACCCTCGAGGTTGAGCTCAGTAACCTAATAACTTTGGAACAGTTTGTACAACCTTATGTTTGGATGAAAGTTTATACAACATTATATTTCTCTTTTTTCTCCCCAAAGGGGAAGACAACATGTTCTTGACTGCTTTATAGAAACTGTTCATCTACATCATTCCCTTGCTATCCGTTCATTTTTTGTTTGATTCTTTATCCTTCATGGTCATTGCTTCCTTAAACTTTGCTGCTGGTTTCTAAGTTCCCTGCATTCTGATGACGACTGTTTGATTTTTTTGATACCTTATCAGGTGAACAACTATGCACTAACAATGCACCTGAAGCAGGCTCAGCAAAGCAGCTCCATCCCAGGGCGTTTTCATCCGGATGTTTTCTAAGATTAAAAAAATACGATGAATTTGCGTTGTGGATGGATAAAGTGCTTTGTATGGTAGTTCTAATGACATGAAGGCACTTGAAGCTGCATTATGCTGTATTGTTTGAGAAATGGCTGTGCAGCAGCTTTTCCTCTGTTATGATGAAGACACAGATAGTTTCGTTCAAACACAACGTCGAGGATTTGTTATGGTTGCCATTTGGCCCATCGCTCTCTTAATTTGTTGTTATGATGTTTTTTAGGTTTTATAGAAAAAGTCACATTTTAGTAATTTCATTGTATCTTTATACTTCAATAAAGAGAACGGATGCTTGAATTCTTGTACATTCCATTGCATCCTCTTGATCTTGAATGCGTTTTCATCAATCTCCCAAACTGAGCCAAAAAATTGACCTTATTATTAGTTATCTATTTTAAATGGTATCTCAAGCTCAAGTTAACTAATGTTTTGCAAAACCTGTTATGGACAAGTGGTAACAAGAATTTCCGTTCAGCGCATGCGAGGTTCTCTTTAGCACCATGACCTTGACTGACTCTCTATCTCTCTCTCTCTGAATTACTTTCATTAACATTAATCAATAGAAAGGGGTTTGCTTCAGGACGATGGCACTTTCTGTATTGCACATAGGGATGGGATAGGGTAAACTTGTTATGGCAATTTAAAAGTTTTGGTGTAGGGACCCAAATACATGTAGTGATCCTAGCTTTTACTTTTTTTGCTTCTTTTCTTTAATGCAGATGCCAACTAACTAAGATGAAAGATGAAAGATGAAAGATGCTGAGTTTATATTTATTTACATATGCTTTTGTTTCCAGCAGGCCATGAAATTTGCAATTGAGTACATGTAAGAAAAGTGCAAATACCTAATAGTCTATGCATGTATGTATGTTGCAAAACTCAAATTAACAGTGAAACTAAACGATATTAAGGTAAACACACAATCCATATTCATATTGCAATAACAATGAAACAAAGTTCACTTGATCAAGATTGGCAAAGATTATAGACATGGCAAGAGGGCAAAAACTAAAGCTACATTTCTAATTAAAAACCATGATAGTTTGTCTGCCATGAATAGTTAAAAATAAAATGCTTTAGAGAGAGAGAGAGAGAGAGAGAGAGCCAGAGAGAGGTTGGTTAGACTTAGAGAGGAAGGGCATCCCATGCCGTTGCACAGCTAATTTTTGCAGGGTGGAAATGAGTCAAGTATGGTGACTGCAGAAGAAGAGCTCTTTGTATTTCCTATACATCTTGGTGTATGTGTTGATGAAGGTCCTTCAAACTTACTGCTGGATAAGCTGGACTTGATTAATGGGCTAGTAGAAGTCTTCCTCCAGCTCCACCTTTCATCATCCTCTTGAACTCATCAAAATTAACCATACCATCCCCATCCCTGTCAACCTTCTTAACCATCTCCTTGCAATCCTCCACCTTAGTTCCCTCTCTCAAACCCAAAGAACACAACACCACCCCCAACTCCTCAACTGAAATCAGCCCATCTTTATCCTTATCAAACACATCAAAGGCCTCCTTCAGTTCCTCCTCTCTGCTTAACCCGTTCCCATCTTCACCGCCCACTCCCTGATCTCGACGGTGCATTGACTCGCACAGCATGCAGAACTCATCAAATTCAATCAACCCATCTCCATTAGCATCCACTTTCTTCACCATTTCTTCCACCTCTGCATCGCTCATGAAGATTCTGATGTTCTTCAACGACTCCTTGAGCTCTTGCTTTGTGATAAAGCCATCACTGTTCTTGTCGAAGGTGGCAAATACTTGCTTGAGCTCTGCATCCTCCGCTCTGTTGCTGCTAATATTATCTTTGCTTTTGGTAGGTGGAGCCACTGGAGTTGCAGCAGTGGATGAGTTGGCTTGGAACAGAGATTGAAACCATGCAAGGAACTTGTTGGTGGGCAAATAAAAGACTATGTTAATGAGGCCAGCAATGAATAGAACTGCTAACAACAGTATGGTGGTTAACACCATGTTGTTTGTCTTCAAGTTCAACCAACTTAGTTTGAAGAAGAAAAAAGATAAGGAAGGAGAGAAGAAGAAGAAGAGGCGGAAGGAACAAAGGGCAAAGAAGAAAACTTAGTTTGTCTTGTTATCAAAAGTCTCTGGTGGTGAGTTCCTTCCTTCCAAAAGCATTGGGCACTACGCTGGGGTACGCGGTTTTTGGTGTGCCTTTGATCCCCCACGGTCCCACAAACCGCGTAAACTCCAAAATAAACTAATATCACACACAGTGACGCAGAAAAATATTATTTGTTGCTTACTATATATGATTTATCATGTGACAACTTAAACGCTTCACTCACATCACATAGTTTATTTGTCTTATGAATATTTATTTATTAAGTTGACTTGCACACATACACACACAAAGACACAGGACTCTAATCAGTATTTGTTGAACGAGTCTTAATGTTTTTTTCTGAGATCCATGTGTTCTGTTGCAGCCACTAAAAATCAGCAAATAGGTGGTAATGGCTTTTCAGATGGTTGAATTTTGATTGGTGCCCTCCCCGCCCCTGCCGTTCAACAAAGGGCGGGTTTTTGGTCTTGGTCTCTGTCTCTGTCTCTTGCAAAGAAAATTACCTTTTCTGTGGAAACCTCTGAATCTGCATAAACTTAATCAAGTTGTTTGCTTAAATCACAAGCACTTTAATCGCAGGAATGATTAGATACATGACACTAGCCGGTTCGTACTTCAATTGTGTTCTTGTGGAAGAAGCAAAATGATGTCTATGTTGCACCTGCTTTGGGTGCGGTGTCGTGTGTTTCAACTTGCATTGCAGGTGAAAAGGATTGAACCAATTCAGTAAAGAGCCTATCATATCATATATTGCTTTGGAAGTGACAACTTTTTATGCTTTTCCCCCCAAATAGACATTGCAAGCCACCACGAAATTTGCAATGCTCTCCCCTTTACTTTACTCCTTTGGATGCTGCTTTTGTTTACTATAGCAGCATATACCTTGCTTTTGTTTAACACGACTTGACTTGTACCAACCATCCTCAAGCATCTGATTCTCACTTTATCAAGATGACTTCGGCCTAAGTTTATATGGAAACTTTATTCAGAAACAACTCATGATGATGAGCCTTGAAACTGTTTTTTTAAGCTTTGGGCCTTAAGGCAACGTCTTGAATGAATACAAGGCTTAAAACAGGCTCGCTTTGGCTCTGCACAATCTCAGCGCTCAGACTACAATGACTTTCAATCTCAGAGGGTCAAGTTGGACTCAACCCATCAGCACAACACCTCCATAGATAGAGGCCCAACTATTATGTATATATGTGGCCGAATTTTGAGGTCATTAATTTCCTTTGGAAATGCTGTAATAGTTCGAAGTATTTAAAAGTAAGTTAAATGACCTACTAGTGTAGTAATTTGGAGTAATTGCTCATGTAAAAAAGGTCATGGAGTCGTGAGTTTGAGTCCTAACATCCGTATAGTGTGTCGCCCCTCTGAATAAGAAAAGTCTCCCAAAAAAATAATTAAAGCAGCAAGTTAAAGGACAAATAGTTGCTTGGTTTTACCTATAATATACGTACATTGAATTGAATTGAATTGTCTAAGGTCCCAGCTAGGTAGCTAGCTCGTGTCAGCTGATCGATCGATCCCATTCCCAAATGCAGTTAGCCAATCAAAGCCTGCATACATAAGGCTCCAAGAAAGAAGACTAGACAAGTCCAACAACTAGCAGGGCTACAGATGGGCCTGCAGATAAGGATTTTTATCATATGAGACCCCCATCTCTGCAAAATTCTTTTTAAGCCTTTGTCACGCGTCTCTCCGGATTTATTGTATGTATAACATGTACATGATACATCTCATCTCTGACAACCACTAATTTGTGATTTGTCTACTTAATTAGTCGCTCATGCATCGAGGTTCTGCATTCGAATTCCTCCTTCATTAATATCGCTTGCATAAAAATAAAAAAATAAAAAAGATTTCTTGAATTACAAGCATGGCTCTTCAATTGGGTTTCACTGATGTGCTTTTACCCAACCCAAAAAGAAAAAACTAATTATAGTATCCTATGTTTCGAATTTGTTGTTTAATAAATGATATAAAAGAAAAGAGGGAAAAAAAGAAAAAACGGCATGCATCATGCATGCATGTGATGGATCATTATTGAGGTTTGGGCCCAGTTGTATATAAAACTGTTGGCTGTATGGTGGGCCCAACTGTGCTGTTCAATTTTTGCCTCCAGGCTCCCGCGACACAGAGAATCAAATGTCCAACGGCCAACTAATGCCCCCAATTGCCAAACGGTGAGCCTGTAATGTAAATTACAAATTGTAAATTTTAAACAGGCTGTTCACTGACCCATGATGATGGTGACAACAGACAGACTATCCCAAGCATACGGACAAATGACAATGCATACCCCGGCCAGCTTCAATCCCGTCCCGTTTTACGTACACTTATTCCTTCCAATGGGATAATAATCACATGCGCCTGGCTTACACTGCAATTAGGAGATGCCCATTGCCAGCCCGGGCCGGGCCGGGGCCCATCTACACACCTACCTTATCCCTCATCCATATAGGGTATACCATGTGATCCTTGTTTTTTTTTATAACCCCAACCCTGTTAATTCTAAAGTGAGTTGCGTGTAAACATTTTCTTATCATTAATCAAATACTAATCTTGTAATGAATTATGGTTGTCGTAAAAGCTCAATTCTAATTTCTAGTTTTTATTAAAAATATTCAAAACTTACCTTGTATAAATTTCAATTTCGATACAAACTTTCAAAAAAAATAAAAAACTCACAAACTCAATTGTCATCGAAACTCACATAAACCTAAAAAGCACACTAAGTTACTTGCGGCATGACTCCTCATTTTAAAACTTCCAATATGTGAATTCTTTTAGCGACTTTGCATTACTGTTGCGTACTCTTGGCTGAAACAATAATTAAAGTTATAGTTGTTGATTTTGTCTATAGATTCCGTAAACAAGCATTCAAGTAAAGGGAATTAAAGTTATAGTTGCTGAAAATTTAATTATTTAAGTATTTTTTGGTAGTTGCAAAGTTCTTCACTTTGGTTTGTTGTACTCTGGGTGCCCTTGTGTTATTGCAGGGCTTTCTTTGTTTGCGTTTGTTTGGGGGGTCCCTCCTTTTGTTGGCTCCTTGAGGCGTTGGTTTTGGTCCATGTAGCTTTGGTTTTCTTAAATGATTTCATTTCACCCAAAAAAAAAAGGAATATCCTCTTCAGATTTTGAGTTCATTTACCTGGACACTTCTTTTGCTTGGTAGGTTTATGTGGGTTTAGGTTTTGAGTCTATTTACGTAAGTTTTTGGCTATTTTTGAAAGTTTTTATCAAAATTAATTATGAAAATAATGAGTAATTTTGACTTTTTTTTATTTATTTATAAAAACTCAAACTTTGAAGCATCGGGATGATATTCCCATTTCAAGTAAGTTAATTTTATTGAAACATTTTTTTTGGGTGGGTGGGGGGGGGGGGGGGGGGGGGGGGGTGTGTTGGTTAAAAGTGCGAGAGAAGTGAAAAGGTAAACCAATTAAAGAGAAAAGAGTACTAACAGAATGATACTATTGATCCGTACCAGTAGCAGTACCCACTGCTGCACCGCTGCACTGCATGTAATGAAAATGAATCAGGCGGTGAGTGAGGGAGCTCTCGTCTCGTGCACAAGATTAAAATTCGTAGATGATTTGGAGCGTAGCTAATTGTGGGTCCTTTCAATTATCACAATCTTACAATGATAACAGAACCATCTTATCATTCCCTCTGCCCTCCTTGTCCTCTCACCCCCTCTCTCTCTCTCTCTCTCTCTCTCTCTCTCTCTGCTGCACACACGCTTGCCTGGATGGATCCACTCACTCACCCCATTGTTGATTGCCAAACTACAAAGGACATGCCCAGCAATTTCACATCTTCATTTGTTAATGAATATATGTTATTATATGAATTCAATGTGATTCAATCAAAAGAAGAAGTTACGAGTTTGAGTATCTATATAAGTGGACTATACTTTATAACAGCGGTTTGGTTTGTGAATGAATCATATTTATTTGTTGAAATATTACGTTTGATGCGTGGAATGATGAAGTAGATTGTAGAAATTCTCACACTAAAAGTACTTAGAATATTACGTTTGATGAGTAGAATGATGAAGTAAATTATAGAAATTGTCACGCTAAAAAAACTCTAAGTAGTGGCGCAGAATTCAGCTTTATTTATGTTTTGTTTGGCCCCATTGTGTACCACAGAACAGATAGATGAATGGCACAACTCAATGACCAAATGGCAGTAGTGAATAGTGTAGAAAAGAGACCAGCCTAGCTAGCTCCACCATGTACAGTGTACTGTTTATCTGCAAAATCTCAGAATTCCAACATAGCAACTGGTTCAGCTAATCCGCCTTCCAGGGCATACGCAAATGCAAATCATACATTTTACATTGATCTGCATGGTAAAAAAAACAGGTTTTTGAAAATATAGGCCAAAGGGTCGTGTGGGGTCATTCATTACTGCCACGGCGCCGTTTAGGTTGATAGCCCATCGACTTACAAGTCTTCTAACACAAAAGGTATCAAAGACTTTTCTTTGATAGCTAAGGACTTTATTTCTAGCCAAAGATAAAAAGATGCATTGCAGACATTATGAATCTATGATGTGAGAGACGTGACCTTAAGAAATTGTCAACAAGTATTTTGGCTTCTTTCTACTAAATTAATATCCGTCTCCATTATTTTTCTTTTCCTTTTGGGTAAATTTGTAACTATGCTTGCGTCCAAAACTCTATATACGTAGATGTTATTGCTATTTGAATTCAAAAAAGATACTTAGCTAGCTATTTGACTCATTTCCTTTGTCAATGAAATTATTATAGTTTCTTTTTTATTATATTTTTTCTCATTTTCGGATCCTTTCAAAAGAGAAAGTCATGCCAAATGACCCACTAATGTAGTGGTTTGGAGAAATCGCTCTCTCATAAAAG